TTTCTCTATGGAGAGATCTTAATGCATCCAAGTATCGAGAAAAAAAAATTCTTGGATAAATAGGGATATTAATCCTAGCGTGAATTAGAGAATTTTAACAAGAACGTGAGATATTTACATTATTACTCTTGTTTTTTCTGAAGAGATTCACTAGTATTTGAGTGGCAGTGACGTTAGATTATACAATGTTACACAATTAGTCAATTGTTTATATTTTATTGTAAAATTGTGTATATTTCTCTTGGTCAGGTTGTTTTGGCAGTGTTGGGCGTGGCCTCGGCTGTCCCCTACATACCAGACACACAACAGGTGGCGGCAGAGAAAGCTCGCTTCTTTGCCTCTTACCGAGCTGCTCAGGCCGCCGCCACGCCACAGTACAATCCTATTCCCCAACAGTCCTACAACCAAGGACAATACCATCACGGCTCCTACCAACCCAAGTGGACCGGCCCAGTGGCTGCCACCGTCCCTGCCGGCGTCGATGGCAGAATTACCCCCGTGTCTGACACCCAGGAAGTAGCTGCTGCCCGCAACGCTTTCTTCAACACCTACCAGGCTCAGGTTGCTGCTACTCTTGGTGCTGGTATCAGCCCTCACCATCAGGCTTCTCCCTCACACACTCCCTCCTACACCCCCTCCTACACCCACCAGCCCAAGTGGACTGGCCCCTTGGCTGCCACCGTCCCAGCTGGGCTCCCAGGCTCCACCAACCAGGTTGCTGACACCCCCGAGGTGGCCGCCGCCAAGCAAGCGTTCTTCAACACCTACCAGAGGCAGGCAGCAGCAGCGGCTCCCCCGACACGCTACTACTGAACCCTACTGTCATAATTAGTTTAACTATCAAATCAAAAAGTAGTATTAGTTAAGCATATGTGTGAACAAAATAAATAAATACAAATTACAAAATGACATTTAAGTTTCATTCATCATCAGTATGAAAGTCCCTGAACTGATAGATGTTGAGAAGTCTGGATTATATATATATTATATATATATATATATATATATATATATATATATATATATATATATATATATATATATATATATATATATATATATATATATATATATATATATATAATCTTCGACAATTCATCAACAATGTGACATCGTCAGGAATATTCGTTTTGACACTAGGGATTTACTAAAGTTACATGCAACAACAGACATAATTGGCGTGGGTACACGTCACCCAGTGATTAAGAATTTCTTAATTGTTGAGAACAACAAAGAAGTGGGTGAGGTGCCTAACTCCACCTATTAGTTGTCTACTGGGTCTGTTATCGTCCCTCTGGATCAATGGGGAATCCATTGCTTGAAGCCTTTGGATTCAAGCATACAAATAATTGTATACTTGAAGTCAAATTCACTTCAATGTTCGTTACTTGGGTTAGCTATCAAATGTTCACGGACTCAAGTGTGCGCAGCTTCCTTCGATTGTTTATACGTATTATTATTGTGCTGTCCTTCACTATGTTGGCCTAAGTAAAACAAATGCCATTTGATATGCTTCCAATTTTAACCCATGACAATTTTGGGAATATCATGTCAACTGTTCCTGGGATTATTATTTTTTCTTTGTATAATATATACATTTTATACTCATATCTTCAAAACTTCCCCAAAAAATTATTATACATTATCTATAATTAGTTAGAGTATACATGTGGTCATGGTAGAATGGCTGGCAAAGGAATATATGGAGCATTGCTATTCCACACCTTCCTCTACTCAGACTCCGGCTCACACATACCAGGGAGAAAGACAGAGGGAGAGAGAGAGACACAGAGACAGAGACACACACAGAGACAGAGACACACACAGAGACAGAGACACACACAGAGACAGAGACAGACAGACAGACAGACAGACAGACAGACAGACAGACAGACAGACAGACAGACAGACAGATAAAACCGAGACAGGGACAGACTTATAAAAGCAGTGTAATAAATAATCAGAAAATGTTAACAAACTTGACGAAGCTGTCTGACTCAGCCACAAACACCGAGGTTCACTATATAAGTCATGAAAGAAAATTGTATAAAATTGCATAACGTTCTTCGGCCATAAACCACGAGACTGTTCACTTACGGCAAATTGCTTCACCTTGTGACGGACAGAATTCTTTTTTTTTTATCTTAGGGTGGATTCTGTAGCTGTTAAGCGCCATCAACTAGAAATATTGTCTGACTATGTTTGCCCTGCAGTCTTAATGAACAACACTGCCTGGGATACGACGAGTCTGCTTCTTGTAAGATGTCTGGTCTTCGCCTCTACCGACTAGCTGTGTAGGTAAATGAGTGAAGGTGCTATCAAAGGGTAATGTCATTTACTCAAGATATATTCTGAATCTTGGACGAGTCTTTAAGGAATCATCAGATCAAGTGGGAGAAGGTATAGGACAAGTGAATGATGCATGGATGGTGCCCTAGCCATGACAGCGTGCAGGTACGGCTTCACTACCTTGGTAAAAAGAAAGAGTACCAGATATCATCGTGAAACACTGTGGTATTCACAGCCAGGATTTGGTACCAAAAACAATGTTGCCTCACCTTAAAGAAGTTATGTCCTGTCTGTGTTAAAGTCGTGAATTTCATCCGGGGTCGCCCCTTAAACCAGTGTGTTCAAGCTGCTTTGTGGGGGGGGGGTTTGGGAAGGGGCATCAAGTCCTTCTCTTCCACTCAAAAGTCAGGAGGCTCTCACTTGGGAGAGTCCTGACCCGTACTGCGGAGCTCCGTGCTGAAATTGCCATGTTCCTCAGAGAGTATCATAATAGCTATCCAAAAACTTGAAGACGAAATGTTAGTCTTCTCTCTTTTTCTATCTGGCAGATATCTTCAATCATTTGAATGCTCTCAATCTGTGTATGAGAAGTTCAAATGCTAATAGTCTTGTTTGTGCAGAGAAAGAAGAAGCCTTCAAGGCGATCATCTCTCTGGAAGCGTCGAGTTCAAAGAGAAAAAGGGTGGAAAGCTTTCCAGTTTTGGATGATAAGCTGGGAGACAATAATGTTACTGCCATGCTGGGAGAAAATTCCATTACTCACCTCTCGCGCCTTGAGACTATCATGATACAGTATATACTTCCCCAAGGATCACACACATCCAGGGGTGGATTCAGCAGCCTTTCCTGCCAGCCATAAGAGTTATGACAACTTGAAGAAAGAGTTTATTGATCTGCAGGTGACCAGGGTTGTTCCTCGGCGGATCAATGTTCCATGCGCTACCGCTCTCTGACTTTTGGCGTGAGCGGGCAACCCGTCCTCATAAACAAATGCCAAATACTCTTTAAACAAGCCAATAAAGACCCTGTTTATAAATGAAAAACGGTTTTCACACCACTCACAACTCATGATGTTCGAATTAATTCTCGAACAGTACACTGACTGACGACCTGTTCGAACCACAACGCTATAAATGCTTCACCCACATAATTCAAATACATATAATCGACAACGAAACCTAAACACCTAACCGTGCCTAACTTTACATAGAACTTTAATATATAATATTAAATTATATACGAGAACAAACCAAATGCTTGTTGATGCCTGGCCCGGGTGTAAGGGGGTGCTGGACTGTAAAGCTTCACTACAGGGGATGCTAAGGTCGGAAAAGGTTAAGAAACGCTTGGTTAAGGGATTCAGTTGCTCCTGTTATTGGTGTCGAAAGGCTGCCAGACCTCCGGGAAATTATTATCAGAGTATGGGGTCGGTTTTTAGCCCATAGTTCAAGACTTTAGAGACGTAACTAAAGCCGGATAGGCAGCCATAAGATCAACGTTATATCCCAGCTGGATGGCCTTATTAGTTAGAGAACCAACCGGCTGGGGAATATTGGCTGGCAAGAGACCCAGTGTATGGGGCTTGGCCCTCCAACCCACAAAACTACGAGGGTAACGTAGTGGCACAGAGTCGCCATAGATTACAGAGGTAAAGTACTGGAAGATCAGACTGTGACGCTACACAAAAGACTCTGTACACTTCGACTGGTTAGTAATAGGATGGTTTCTTTGTTCATTGTATAGGTCTTAGTTTACTGGGTTGCCAAGCGCCGCAGTTTGTCGAGCGGCAAATTGTCACGGTTTGTCAAGCGTCATATTATTAAGTCACGGTTTGCAAGCGTGGTAACTGACGCTTTTAGTATGATTAAGCAATAGTGGTAGCACGCGTGAGCACAAACTTTATTTTTAATAGTTAGGGGTAGAAATTTTATTTTGGTAATAATATTGTTATTAGTTACTAGTGTTGATAGGGGTCAAAGCGGCCTTTACCACCTGTCAAAGCTCGTGTCCGTCCATCCACTCTCCTGTCTGTTTGTGGTTCTCCTTTGTGTTCCTCTGTTCTGTACACAGTTGTCATGTGTCTGTCAATCTTATCAGCTCCATTTTTTTATTGTTATTTTTGTTCAATACACAAAGCGTAGCTCACTTTACCCCTCCCCCGGTCTTCCATCGCACCTCCCTACCCCCCCCCCCCCCCACCTTTTCCCAGTCTCCCGTCACCCACTAGTGATCCTGTGCGCCCCCTCCCACCCCCGTTCCCCCCCCCCTCCCCATTTTAACTATTACACGTTACGTGCATATTTTCCGAACTACCTTCTTGCTGGGGGCCACGTCGCCTCCTGTCTCCTCTAGCTTCTCCGCCTTCTCTTGCTCCTCTAGAAATAGCTCCCCATCCTTTCCTCCCCCCCCCCCCCAACAAACACTTCTCCCTCTCTTTAACCCCCAAACACTCCCTCCACCCTATCCCAAACAAACATTCCCTCTATCCCTCACAAACACTCCCTTCAACCCCAACAAACATTCCCTTTACCCCCGCACAAACACTCCCTCCACCCACACTACAAACACTCCCTTCAACACCCACAAACCTTCCCTCCACCCCCACAAACACTCCCTCCCCCACCCCTCCCTCCCAACCACCGTGCTTGTTACTCAGGTCTCTGGTATAAATAGCCCGACAGCCACAACTTGGTCAGTGTGAGCGCCGTCATTCCCACCAGTACACACACGTCCGCTGTCATGGAGTTCCTGGTGGTAAATACTCTTCCCGTTGTAGTGCACTAACGCATGCTCCCTTGGCGTCTCTTCAGTGACTTACGGGCGTATCTTCGTTGTGGCGCTCTTGTATATATGCAGACGAGGAGTCACAATAACGTGGCTGAAATATGTTGACCAGACCACACACTAGAAAGTGAAGGGATGACGACGTTTCGGTCCGTCCTGGACCATTCTCAAGTCGATTCTCTTGTACGTGTGTTTTGCTGCGTGTGATTAGATTACATAGATTCAGCGTGATTGGTTTCTAATCAACAGGGCGGATGTCTTAGGATAAAAATAGATTTTTCCGTAAAGGAAAAATCAGATCGAAGGCGTCATGCAATTTGATTCTATTTGTAATGTTGGCCTCTTGAAGCTTAACTGGGTAAAGCACAAATTATATATTATTAAAAATCAAATCATGATTTTTTTCTGCGTATATTCGTGGCTTGTAATTAACTCGTAAAAAAAAGCCTGAAACGTGCATAAAGGTAATATTACACGTTTTTGTCAAAAAAAAGCACGAATATGAACGCCATGTATATACCTCACGCATAACGCATCATGCTTTGAATCCTCAACGTCAAAAGTAAGACGAACTAAAAATCGCAGCGACTCACAAACGTGTCGTCATGTCCCGTTTCCCGTTCGTGCGTCTTCTGTTAGTTTAGATTCGGGCACAATTTTAGGGTATTAGTGTAAGAGGAGTTGTGAGGACGGGCTGAGGTAACCGACGCCATCTTGGGCACTGAATAACAAAAACAGATTTGTGAGATGATTTCGGGGCTTTAGTGTCCCCGCGGCCCGGTCCTCGACTAGGCCTCCACCCCCAGGAAGCAGCCCGTGACAGCTGACTAACACCCAGGTACCTATTTTACTGCTAGGTACCTATTTTACTGCTAGGTTGTATGCAAATGTATAACTTTCTTCAAAGCGCACTGATGCGACTGTATTAATAACACAGTTCATGTGTTGTTTAGGTGTGTATTTGTAATTACAGGTTGTTTTGGCCGTGATGGGGTTGTGTGGGGCCGCCCCCCACCCACAAGTCAACGTCAACCCCCTCCATAAGCATCCTACGCAGCGGTTTCACAGCCTTGTTCCACAGCCGCCACACAGCCTAGCCTCACAGCAGGCATTTAACCCAGGCATACATCAGCAGTCGTTTAGTCATGCACCACAGCAGTCATTCAAGGAGTTCCCACAGCAGTCATTCAAAGATTTCCCACAGCAGTCATTCAAGGAGTTCCCACAGCAGTCATTCAGTCATGCCCCACAGCAGTCATTCATTGATGCCCCACAGCAGTCTTTCAAGGATTTCCCACAGCAGTCATTCAGTCATGTTCCACAGCAGTCATTCAAGGACTTCCCACAGCAGTCATTCAAGGACTTCCCACAGCAGTCTTTCAGTCAAGCACCGCAGAAGTCTTTCAAGGATTTCCCACAGCAGTCATTCAACAACTTCCCACAGCAGTCATTCAAGGATTTCCCACAGCAATCGTTCAGTCATGCCCCACAGCAGATACAGAAACCTGTCTCTCAGTTGGCATTCAACACTGCCCCACAGCACTCATTCCAGCCTGCCTCGAAGCACCCGTTTAATCCGGCAGCACAGACGCATGACTTCGTCTCACAGAAAGACTTCAAGCCTGCGTCACAGAAGTCGAGCACAGCCCTCACTGACCCCGTCCATCCCAAGTGGACAGGCCCCGTGGCTGCCACCGTACCCGCTGGGGTTGACGGCCCCGTCATCCCTGTATCCGATACGATTGAGGTCGCTGCCGCTAAAGCTGAATTTTTCAAGGCCTACCAGGCGGAACTAGCAGCAATAGCGGCAGCTAAAGCCCATCAGAAACCAGCTGCAGAAGGTACGGCAATACATTCCCACAGTGATCCTGTATACAACCCAGGCACGCCAGTCCACAGCAGCAAGGGCAACCAGTTCACCTTCAGCACAATCCACGCCGCAGCCGCCCCTCAGCACGGTAAAATCCACGGCGTCCCCTCTGTGAGCCATGGCTTCCACGGCGCCCCTAGTCAATCTCACGACAGGCCGGAGGTGCATGCCGTCGGGACGCAGTTCTTCCACGATAGACAGGCAGGAGCTGCACAAACGGCTCCAGGCGACTATATTATCTACCACTGAACGGTCGACTCTATTACTTGTTAGTGAAGCTCTTCACTAACCTCACTACGATGGCTACCCCGTGATTCCCACCTCAACAGCCATTGGCCCAAATGGGACAGTATCCATCAATCTATTTCTTAACTCGAACGAGGATATTGTAATACCGTGTTTGTGTGTGTTTCAGGGCAAACATGTCCTTCCGCAACTTTAACTCCTTTGAAAACAGACGAATTTCAGTGCCATTAGAAAAAAAAGATCTTAAATATATTATATTATACCAGTTTCTGATTATATGATTATATAAAACAAGGGTTTGTATTCTATTACTATACTTTTGTATATAACTGTGATCACTATCAAAGAGTCTAGCAAATCCGTGTGAATCCACACAGCTAAACATCTAAATACAATTGTTTATGAGTAGTAAGTGTTATCTTCTGTTTCCTTATAGCTCCAAAGTATAGAAAACGGCAATCAATCCCCCCATAAACTTTGCTTTGACCTTTCTCTAAGATAACTTCGAGAAGTCGTCCTGAAGGAACCTGTAGGTTGCCGACTCCTTATAGCTGTGACACGTTGTTTCAGAAGTCACCAGCCTTCAGGTATACCTTCAAGACATCTTAAGCTGTCTAAGACTAAGTTCAAAGCAAAGTCTCAGGACAATAATAACCATTTTCTATATTCTTTAGAGGCATAAACAATCGGGGACTAACGCATACTTCCCAGAAAAATTTGTGACACAGTTTTATCAACGAAATGTATTATAAGAAATGTTATACAATATTTATTAGTGTATATACAATAAAGCAATGTATTTGTTTCGTTTTTGGCTTTAAATCGAGAATCCTTTTTATTTTGGCCAAATAAGTAGGATGGAACAAGTATAACTCCGCAAGAAAGGGTTTAATTATCTATTTAAATATAAATCTATTCATTTTCCCCTCTATATAGTTATTTACCTTTCCATCCATCTATCTTCCCACTCATCTGTATATTCATCTATTCATTAATTCTCCATCATTCATCTACCATCTCATACATCACTTCATATATCCAAACATTTTTACACCCGTCCTCATTTGTGATATCTGGTGAGGCATCGAGATGGCCCAGGTGGTGATGGACCACCACCTGGGCTAGTGATGGTCCACCACCTGGGCCAGTGGTGGTGGACCACCACTGGCCCAGGTGGTGGTCCCAAGTGGTTAATGTTCACTGTGAACTGACTCAACTTGTATTGTGAATGTATTAAATAAAACCATCTATGGTGTTACAAACTCGTGTATTATTAACCAAGTGATTATTGTCAGGCACTGCATTTCCTTTTTTTCCGATAGTGTAGATTTAATTAATTTTAATATATGACAGTAATACACATTAATGTATGGTGTATACACCAAGTTTTACAGTGACACTTGCCTAGTGAGATGCTTAGGATTCACTTACTTGATATGACCTGCAAGTACTCTTGACATGGACCTGTGAGTGTGTACTCTTGACATGGACCTGTGAGTGTATACTCTTGACGTGTCCTGTGAGTGTGTACTCTTGACCTGGACCTGTGAGTGTATACTCTTGACTTGACCTGTGAGTGTGTATTCTTGACCTGACCTGTAAGTGTGTACTCTTGACTTGACCTGTGAGTGTCTACTCTTGACCTGACCTGTAAGTGTGTACTCTTGACGTGACCTGTGTGTACTCTTGACCTGACCTGTGAGTGTGTACTCTTGACCTGACCTGTGAGTGTGTACTCTTGACCTGACCTGTGAGTGTGTACTCTTGACTTGACCTGTGAGTGTGTACTCTTGACCTGACCTGTAAGTGTGTACTCTTGACTTGACCTGTGAGTGTCTACTCTTGACCTAGTCCCCAAGGGCCGTGACGAGGATTCGAACCTGTGTCCGAGAGCATCCCAGACGCTGCCTTAATCGACTGAGCTACGACATGGTAAAAGGAGTTGAAACTGAAGTTCTACTGAACTAACTTACTAGATCCTGCAGCCTCTCCGAGGCACAAACCAGGGTTTTACTCACTGCCCTTCGAATCCTCGTCACGGCCCTTGTGGATTTGTTCATTTGATGCATCACGCAATTGTGATTTCTGTGTGGACCTTTATTGAATTTGAGTCTCAATTATTTTTTGCTTTATTAACTCTATTTATGCTTTATTAACTTTATTTGCTCTATTAACAAAATATAATTTTAACTTGTAATCAACGTATACATTCTGTTCCTCTCTCTCTGTCAAGTAAAATGTCCTCTCATTCCATGCGTTGTTGACGGATGATATTATCCACGCTAAGCTTGAGTACAATATAATTGTTTACATGTTTACATTTCTTATGTCTTCTGCAGTATTGTTATTAATATTTCTGGAGTTTACAGTGAGTCAAGATGATACTGAATTTGAAGTAGCTGCTGAGGTGAGTATCGTTTTCTTTCATCCTCAAATGTCTAATTTAGGGACAACTAATACAGTTTGGGGAACATTTGATAACATTATATTGTTGATTTTATTTATGGAATACAGGATTATAGGATCGTTATCACAAATATAGGCGACTTATCTACCAGAGGGGAAAGGTTCCTTCTCTAAGTTTACAGATGTGAAATTAATGCTGATTATAAGTATGGTGGACAACTGTTGTTGTTGTTAAAGACTCGCTACCTGGAACAAAAAGTTCCAAGCAGCACGGGCTATGGTGAGCCCGTAGGTGGACAACTGCAAGTTGCTTTCTTAATAGTGTATATCAAACTGCAAAAAATGAGCAGAGAAATGGCTATTAGAATACAATTCCAGTAAATGCAAAGTAATGCATATGACTGATGGGAAAATAAAACACTATGCATTACCTAAAAAAGGAGCAAAACAAACATTCAAAGTCACAGAACAGAGGAACAAACATAACATCAGACTCTTACTCCTAAACGAGGAGTCGCTTGGAAAACTATGCGCCTCAAATATCAGATATATTTTTTTTAGTGTATTCCATTCACCTGGGCTGTAGGAGACTCGAACCGTGGACCCCACGTGTGTGAGACTGCAGCTCTATCTTTGGTTCGTGTAGCAACAGCATACAATACTCATATCCATAAGGGAATCGGAGAATGCAACAAGGCTTGCCATCTCGTTGCTTCCTGGGCTGTGAGGAGCAATGAAATAAGGAACACCTAATCAGAACGTATGAAATACTCGGGAGAAACGCCAGAGGTTGACAGTGAGCAAGGAAGAGACCTTTGAGCAAGGGAGAGACATGGAGGAAATATAGATGGTCTCCAAATGAGCTATATAGATAATTTTAAACTTTTCAGTGCCAGCATTAGGAACAAGTACGGCCGTGAATGCACATTCCATACGAGGATTATGGTACGGTGAAGGTTAACTCCAAACCCTGATTCTACAACAGGTATGCAACGTTCAAGGGATTAGTGAAGAAGTACACGAATTAAATGAAGATTGAGAATTGGGACGCAGGAGACAGCTCTCAACACCACACAACACAAATCGATGAGTTCGCACTTACATATCCAAACACACACACACACACACATACGTATATATCCGTATATATCCAAACATACACGAACGTATATCCACACATACACGAACGTATATCCACAGATACGAACGTATATATATATATTCGCACACGAATATTCACTCACCAAAATTGTGGCATGTACAAACAACGAATGTTTATAACTCTGGCTTGGGACAAAACTTAGTATGATATATGGAACTATAGAGTGAATCAAAATAAAGTGTCGAGACGCTACACGTCAGATGGACAGAGATAAAGACGATGCTTGGCTGAACGTCATCATTGAGCACTGTCCTGTTGTTCTTGTTTGATGGAGAGGGAAATTTTCACACAGACTGTTACAAATCACTGATATGATGAATGTATTCAGAAAACTCATCCATTACTACGGGAATGTATATTTTCGTGAGCATGTGATGCTTGAAATTGGTGTTTTATGGGATAGTCGTTGAACAGGTAAGTGGCAGGTGTAGTCATGGGGTTTAATGGTAGGTGTAGAGATGGGGGCTGAGTTGGAGGTGTAAAAATGGGGCTGAGTTGTAGGTGTAGAGATGTACACCAACATCTCTACACCTCAGTTGTAGGTGTAGAGATGGGACTCAGTTGTAGGTGTAGAGATGGGGCTCAGTTGTAGGTGTAGAGATGGGGCTCAGTTGTAAATGTAGTTATCAGTCTCGGTTCTAAGTGTAGTAATCAGGTGCTGCGGCTGCCGCTGCTGCCTGCTTGTTGTAGAGCTTGAAGAACTCAGCCTTGGCGGCGACCACCTCGGGAGTGTCTTGGACCTGGGTGGGGGGACCGTGGTAGCCGTAGGTGTCAATTGGGCCCCCGTAGGACACGGCAGGGGCACCGTAGGAGCCGGCTGGGGCACCGTAGGAGCCGGCTGGGGACCCGTAGGAGCCGGCTGGGGCACCGAAAGAGCCGGCTGGGGCACCGTAGGAGACTGCAGGGGCACCGAAGGAGCCGGCTGGAACCCCGTAGGAGGCGGCCGGGGCACCGAAAGAGCCGGCTGGGGCACCGTAGGAGACTGCAGGGGCACCGTAGGAGCCGGCTGGGGCCCCATAGGAGGCGGCCGGTGCACCATAGGAGCTTTTGGAGGCGTAGATGGGAGCCACAGGAGCCTTGTGGACAGGGAGAGCGGGGGCGTAGCCAGGGGTGCCGTAACGACTGGAGCGGATAATATCTAAAGTATCCAGCTGCTTGTTGTAGGCCTTGTAGAAGGCATCTTTAGCGGCAGCGACTTCGTAGGTGTCTGAGACGGGGATGACCTTGCCGCCGATGCCGGCGGGGATGGTGGCAGCCACGGGGCCGACATACTTGGGCTGCACGCCGTAGCCGGGGTTGTAAGCCTGATAACCGGGGTTGTAGGCCTGATAGCCGGGGTTGTTGACCTGATAGTCGGCCGAACATACGCCTATCACTGCCAAAACAACCTATAACAGGAAGCAAGAACATTTATCATAAAACTTTGGACAAATTACTAATTTACTTTATGAACGGGACTCGCCCTCATCAAAAACAAAAGTCACCCATCAAAGCGCTAGCAATATATGCACCCATCATGTGGATCTGACGCCGAGATGAACTAAATAACTCTCCCCTAGCTGCTGGGTACTTACCAGAGTCCTCATGGTGGCTGCGTGCGTGTGTGTGTGTGTGCGTGGTGGGAGCCAGACTACTGAACTACACTCCTGCCTCTGTAGATATATATACCTGGTACACAACCTTCACCTCCGACCCTCAAATGACGAGCTTGGGATTTTACGAAGCGCTGTTCCTCAATTTAAATAACGTGTCACGGTATGAAAAGGATCGAAAAGGTCCTTTTTTTCATGTTTGTCTTGCTTGTGTTGTGATCTGGCCAGACGATGGATTATACTGTACTGTATACACGCAGGTTTCTAAAACGTCGAAGAGAAACCATATCAAACTGCGTTGAGCAGACGGTAATAAAAAAAAAACCAAGGTACAAATATAATGATGTGAAAAATGGACGTCTATTTAACGTTTTTGCGAGGAGATGAGAGGAGGGAGGATGCAAGGCGGGGATAACCCAACTATCAAGTGGGAGCTCCATCACAGAACTGAGCTCAACATTGGTAATTGGCTTGAGACTTATTATAGTTCTGGCGAGGGGCTCTCATCGTGACACCCTGTGAATGGATGTTAACGGTGGTTACGCAGTGAATAATTTAACTAAATTGCACCTGCCTATAGCTGTGTTTTTGTGGAGGTCGAGTTCCGGCTCCTGGGCCGCACACCTTATGCCTGGGGATATCATAGTGAACGATTCTCTGCCTTCTCGGGCTTGTTCATATCGTCGTATAAAGCGAAGAATGGAGTTGGTCTCTGCCATCTTTTCTCTCGTGTGTGTGTGTATGTGTGTTTGTGCACGCGCGTGTATGTGTGTCTCTCCCCGAATTGTGCTTGCGGGGATTGAGCTTGGGCACTTTAGTCCCGCCTCTCAACCGTCAATCAACCGGTGTACAGGTTACTGAGCACATGGTGATCATATCTACATTTGAAAATGTGTTTAGAATCAGCCTCCACCACATCACTGCCTAATGCATTCTATTAACTACTCTGACCCTGGAAACTACAGAAGGGTAACTACACCTCTAGCTATAAAATATTCCTGTGAACAATCACTTTTCCTAATATCGTCATATATTTTCTTTCCTCATTTTATTTGCCTCCCTGTGATATTATTACAAAAATCTGCAAAAAAATATTTCAGTTCTCGAATATAATAATCCATTTACATGTTTAATTGTTCACTTGTTGAAATATTTCTTTGTCATTCTGTTATGTTTAGCCAGTCTAATCATGTGTTAATTTTTGTTTGCAAATATGTTTTACTTAACGATTGATTGATTTTTGTTTGTGTTTGTGTGTTTGTAAATTAGCTCAGTGGTGTAGTGTCTCTTTTTCGTATTTTTTTATTTTTTTTATTTTTTTTATTTTTCACTTCTCAGCCTTCCCTCACCTCTAAGACCTCACCCCACGCCCCCCCCCCTTAACCCCACCACGTACTTTGAGGCACTGCAATTGGAGTCTTTAAATGACAGAACTGAGAGTGTGATGCCAATGATTACAACTAGGACTATCTGGGGATGCCACTGTTAATAGGTTCCATTCATTGGGGTGTCTGGGGATTCCATTCTGGGGTTCCATTCCAAGCCATGCATGGGGTTCCATTTATTGTAATTGGGAACTATTTGCTTGGGGGAATAGCACATGTAATTAAGAGCCAGTGGCTAGGATGCAACATGCTGGGAGATGTCACACCAGTGAGTATGTTACTGGTAATGTGGTGCCACTGGCTGGGGTTAGTTAGTATTACAAGGGGGGTAACACTGTGAGCTACTAACTACCCGAGATATGACACTTGCAGGAGGTAGTCATTGACATGAGTGTGCTGTGGGCTTGGTAAGGCTAATAATTATGTAGAATCACCGGTTATGATGGCAACTAACCAAGGGTACCACTAAACTGAAGATCACCAGTCTGAGGGCTCTACTTACTCAGGCTTGACACTGACATTGCAGATGCTGCCAGCCAGATTGGTGCCTCTGGCCCATGGAGAACGATGGTATGAGGCAAGTGGGTGTCTCTGGCCATGGGGAATGTTGGTATCAGTCAGGTAGGTGCCCCTGGATACAAGCGGGAGGCGTCTTCTCGCTCGTCATATCATCAATGCAAGCAAATCACCGGATGGAATGACTCTGCAAGCTACCTCATCACCATGATGATGGTATCGTGATTTTCAAAGCATTTTTTTCCCCCCCATCTCCAGTACAAGACTCGTTTCCTGTGCATGCCAACCACTTATCGTAATTTAGAGATGACGTCACCCCATTATTGCCGCAGAGGTCAGATACGTTACGTCAAAACGCGTGAGGTCAACACTTTTAGATTTATGATCGTGTTTTTTGCACTCTTTTTCCCCCCTCATCTACTGACACAACACTTTGTTTGTTCCACCAGCTTGTGGCTTGTCGCGGGGAACACTGACGGAGGTAAGAATTGGTTTTGTGTCACAGTTATATCTACTTCATGTGCAGACGAGGAGTCACAATCTTGAGATCTTGAGGTTATCTTGAGATGATTTCGGGGCTTTAGTGTCCCCGCGGCCCGGTCCTAGACCAGGCCTCCACCCCCAGGAAGCAGCCCGTGACAGCTGACTAACTCCCAGGTACCTATTTACTGCTAGGTAACAGGGGCATTCAGGGTGAAAGAAACTTTGCCCATTTGTTTCTGCCTCGTGCGGGAATCGAACCCTGGCGCGGGTTCAAGTGTACTGTGGTTGTTATTTTGTGGTGGCTGTAGCCGACGGAGGACACGGCGTCTGGGGACACTGTTAAGGAGATATATGTTAACTTAAGAACGTAAATGCAGAGTTCCGGGGCCTTAGTGCAATGGAAACTTTGATCAATTTAAAATACCAAACATAGCCAATTCTCTCCGGGTTCATCCTATTTAAGAGAAATATTCTTAGTCAAAGACTAGAAGAAATTCTCAGAATTTGAAGATGATAGTTCACAATACTTTATACTTAATACTTAATGAAATGGTTAACCTCAGGTTAATTTGTGTGTGTGTGTGTGTACTCACCTAATTAAATTAACCTAATTGTGCTTCCGGGGGTTGAGCTTTGGCTCTTTGGTCCCGCCTCTCAACCGTCAATCAACTGGTGTTCAGATTCCTGAGCCTACTGGGCTCTATCATATCTACACTTGAAACTGAGTATAGAGTCAGCCTCGACCACATCACCTGTGTGTGTGTGTGTGTGTGCGTGAGTGAGTGCGTCAGGGGGAGGGGGGTTATTGAGGTATGTCTACACAGGGCCAACACAAACAGTTTATTAAGACGTTCTGACAAGTTCTTATAATCACACAACCTCACAACCTTCGGATCCAACAGAATTCTGTGACCATAAAAAAAAAATTGGAAATACTTTTAAAGAGGTTATACTCGTATATCGCTCGTCATTCTTCTGTCAAAGTTCAATGTTGAACAGTCATTTCATAACAAAATACCGGAAGAATTAAATTAATTTATTGGATACTACATGGGGGTACCCGGTTGTACCCGGGTCTCTTTGCCCTCTCTCTCTCTCTGTCCCCTCTCCACATTTTCCCTCTTTCCTAGCCTCTCCCTCAACATCTCCTACTCTACCCTTCCCGCCCTTCCGATTTCTCTCCCCTCTCTCCTTCCCTACTCTCTATCCCTCCCTCTCCCACATTCCCTCTCTTCCCCCTCTCATTTCCTTTCTCTCTCTCTCTCTCTCTCTCTCTCTCTCTCTCTCTCTCTCTCTCTCTCTCTCCGAAAAATTTATTATTACATTTTTTTATTAATACATTAGGTACATCTGCATTTGTGCAGCTACCCTAGACTAAATGAAGGGGAGTACAGTGTGTGTCAAAAAGCTAGCTACGTGATGCTAAAAACCCCCCATCACACAAAATGGCTAGTCATACGAAGGCATGTGATAAGCAGTCTGCACTGGCAGACTCTGGGTGCATTATGAGGATATCATCAACACAAGAGTGAATAAGATAGAGATACTAAAAGTCCCCATCTCGCAGGATGGTTAGTCATACAAGGAACTGAAAACTACTAAAAACTCATCGGAACACACACACCTATTTCAGACGTCACGGAAATTGCCGGAGGTCGCAATGGCTGCCAATTTTTCTTAAAGAGTGACACTGGGACCGATCCCGACTGACCTATGGCACTCTAATACCACTCATGTGTCTTCCTGGAAAGTTGGGCGAGACTGATTGAGAAAGTTCGGAAATCAATCATCCTCGATTGTGAGTCCAGAACGAAGCCAAATGTATTACGAGTCCCCATAGTGTACATACGTCTCCTCATCCTATATGATATGTATACCGTCACATCTGTCCATTTCCATTAACCTTCCACCTGTCTCTGAAGATACTGAAGAGAGCTTCAGCAAAACTCGGCCTTATAATGAATGTGAGACATCGCTTAACTTGAATTATCTTTACAATTTTAATTTCCTTCCCAAGCCAAAAAAGAAAGTAAGGAATATAAAAAAATGCATTCCCCTTGCGAAGGAAATTTAAAAAATTTAGTTTGCATATAATATTTTACAGTTTGAATGGATCTGAGACGTATTGCTGAAGGAAGAGGAGAAATTGATACGCTACTCTCGAGTCCTTTATGTTCTTCAGTTCTTAACACTGTGTTCTGTTCTCCAAAGAACAAAGATCTCGTGTTGACTGAAGCAGACAAGGAGTTTTCATCTGGAATCCGGTGGTATTCCAGATGAAATACTGGAATATGTTCAATGTTGAACATGATGAAACTAGACAGGTAGTTACCCAGACGTAGTAGTTACCCGGTAACTACTAAGACAGGTAGTTACCCGCTTGCCTCTCGAGGAGATCAAACGTCAAGCGCCCAGCACAAGGTCGCCGCTGCCATCCTTGATAGAACCAGGAACTGTTCATCTCTATTGACAATAAAGAGCAAGGAGCGGCCTTTGATTCCACCGTAAGGTTCTCAAGAGAGTCAGCCATGATCGTGAACAAAGCTTGGTGAATGACTCGCTTCGAACGGATAAAAGCTCCAAGGAGTTTAGACCTTTCTTACGACAAAACCCTTTGTGTGGAGTAGGGTTCAAGATCTGAGAAGAATATGTACTTCCCTACGTCATCGTTACTCTTTAAACAAACCTAACCTAGTCTAACTCATCCTTTCATATCCAAACCCAACCCAAATCCATCCTATCCTATCCTAACTTAACCTAACGAAAACAAGACAAAAATTCGCGTTTCATACATGTTACAAACGAGGTGTGGGGCATCACTATGTCATAATGTTCATGATTGTACAGGTTTTAGACCCTTCTGGTTGCGAGGCTTGAACATAAGTTCCACATCTGCGTCAAAGTTCCACCTCTGCGTCAGACCAGACCAGACCTAGCCGGCCTAAGAACACGGAGGGATCCCTGATGCAAAGGTGAAAACTATTTGATGAAGGGAGGTTCTGCAGCTGTTATTTTGAGGTCACGTAAACGACCAGGATGTTGGACGTGTTTTTGAAAATACGACAACAAATCACGAGAGTATTTATCACATTTGGACAAAGAAAGTTTGCTATATCTTTGAGGCAGAGTTCTGATTATATGGACAGTTTTTGTCTAACCCAATTAGATATATCCTAAATCTATATTAGCCTCCTATTAATCCCTGGCTCTCCCGAATTTCAAATATAACACGAATTTTGAAAACAATTATGAGAGAGGAAATTATGGTTCAGAGCGAGAGCATTTTAGTCTGGGAACAGAGCGTGTGTTGGAACCCGTTGTTTACACTAGAGGTCAAGCTGGGTCATGTGTGGGGTCAAAGGTAAGAGAAGAGGGTGTGGTGAGGCAAGTGAGAGTGTGTTAAGGGCGTGGTGAGGCAAGTGAGAGTGTGTTAAGGGCGTGGTGAGGCAAGTGAGAGTGTGTTAAGGGCGTGGTGGGGCAAGTGAGAGTGTGTTAAGGGCGTGGTGAGGCAAGTGAGAGTGTGTTAAGGGCGTGGTGAGGCAAGTGAGAGTGTGTTAAGGGCGTGGGGGGGCAAGTGTGAGTGTGTTATTGAAGTGGGGTGGCATAGCTACTTCTGGCGACTACTGCAGCTTGAAGCAGCACCGACGACCACAGCTTGCAGCAGCACCAACAACCACAGCTTGCAGCAGCACCGACGACCACAACTTGAAGCAGCACCGACGACCATAGCTTAAAGCAGCACCGACGACCATAGCTAGAAGCAGCACCGACGACCACAGTTTGAAGCAGCACCGACGACCATAGCTTGAAGCAGCACCGACGACCATAGCTTGAAGCAGCACCGACGACCACAGCTTGAAGCAGCACCGACGACCATAGCTTGAAGCAGCACCGACGACCATAGCTTGAAGCAGCACCGACGACCACAGTTTGAAGCAGCACCGACGACCATAGCTTGAAGCAGCACCGACGACCATAGCTTGAAGCAGCACCGACGACCACAGTTTGAAGCAGCACCGACGACCACAGCTTGAAGCAGCACCGACGACCATAGCTTGACGCAGCACCGACGACCACATCTTGACGCAGCACCGACGACCAGACCTTGTGGCACCTCAGACGACCCCAGCTCGTGGCACCACCAACGACCCTCAACTCGTTTCCGCCACTAAGACCTCCGTTAGGGTAATAACAGACGCTCTTTTGACCCCTCCGAGGCGAGGTTGTGTTGTCTTTTCCCCGGCTCGCTCGTGGTAGTCATTACGTCACGTGATCACAGCTGTTTTAAAGCAAGCTTAACCCTAACCTATCCACGCACTGAGGTCGTATCCACAGATGTCGTTTTCTGATGCTTTTCAGCGCAGTACCGTAGGCACACATGGGGATTAAACCAACCATCTTCCACGATTCTGTGAATATGGTACTTCCTAAAGGGCCCAAAATCATAGGTAGGTTATCTGGTACCTTAACCACTAGACCACACTGACTGTGCAAATATCTAGTACAAAAATCTTATACAGTCTGTGTGGTCTAGTGGTTAAGGTACCCGGATCCAGATTCACGAAGCAGTTACGCAAGCACTTACGAAGGTAAGTGCTTGCGTAACTGCGTAAGTAACTTGCGTATATATATATATATATATATATATATATATATATATATATATATATATATATATATATATATATATATATATATATATATATATATATATTAAATTATATAAAGATTAAAGTGTTCAGTGAGAATCCACAAGGTCTTCTCTGAGTACTCTTTATTTTCTTCTTCGAGGCTGCGGGTCCCTACAATTGCACCAGAGGTGGTACCCCCTATTATATAAAGAGACCAGAAACTTTGATGAAGCAGGACCAAGTTTACACATCGAGAAGTGTACTCTGCTTCTCAGTTTATAATCACTACATATATACTATATATACTCAGTGTATATATACTTCTCAGTGTATATACACTACATATATACTATATATACTCAGTGTATATACGCTGAGAGTTTAGTCCTGGATAATGTTCAGGACTGAACTATACTTGCTGGTTGGTCAGAAAACTCTTGTAAAATCCTGCCTTAATAAGCTTCAGCAGATTTATATGGCTTAAGTCCAGCACCAAACCAGGAACCAATTCAATACCCATAAGGCTAAAATGTTCATAGAATATTACCCCTAAAATGTTGATACTGATATACCCTCAAGGCGAAGATTATCAACTTCAGACAAATGATCAACCACCATGAAGGCCGCAGGTGCAGAAGTGAGAGAGAGAGAGAAAGAGAGAGAGTGTGAGAGAGAGAGCTGTGACTTGGGGTATAAATAGCGGGCCAGAAGCCTCACACCCCACAGTCTGGTTCCCACCTCTCACACACACTCAAAGCCGTCATGAGGTCTCTGGTAAGTTATGCCCACCTCAAGTACACTACATAAACAGAAATGTGTACCTCGCTTCTGAACTTACTTTCAGGACTAAAGTACACTTGCTGGTTGGTCAGAATAGGTTTTATGGTTGCCTAAATCATTATACTTATGTTGATAGGATTAAAGTCTAACATTGCTTTATCTTTTACTCCAAGACTTTCAGAGGAACATCATTCCAGATTGTTATAGAGGGCAGACACAGACGGTAATGACGGTTTGACTACCTCAGTCCTCGACTCTTACTGTCACCATGCTCTTGACAGCGAAACAATGAAGCCATCACTCACTTGACAGAGAAACAATGACACACTCACAAGAAAGTGAGATAATTCTCGTTGACACTCTTAAAACATTTACAGTTTCACCACTTAAAATTACCAATTGACTCTTTAATAAATACAAATATAGATGCGTTGAAAATCTTCTTTGTGTTCAGAGCCCGTCCAGAAGTTAACATGTGATGTATCACCTGGTATTAAAAACACAAAATAAAAATTAACTAGATCAATGTCAGTGGTAAGATCCAGCATGGAATTATTTCTTGGATGCGAGATGATTTTTCAATTTTCTTTCTTTCTCTTACAGGTTGTTTTGGCAGTGATAGGCGTGTGTTCGGCCGGCTATCAGGCCTACAACCCCGGCTATCAGGCCTACAACCCCGGCTTCGGCTACGGTGTCCAGCCCAAGTATGTCGGCCCCGTGGCTGCCACCATCCCCGCCGGCATCGGCGGCAAGGTCATCCCCGTCTCAGACACCTACGAAGTCGCTGCCGCTAAAGATGACTTCTACAAGGCTTACGACAAGCAACTGAAAACTCTGGATATTATCCGCTCCAGTCGTTATGGCACCCCTGGCTACGCCCCCGCTCTCCCTGTCTACAAGGCCCCTGTGGCTCCCATCTTCGCCTCCACCGGCTCCTACGGTGCCCCGGCTGTCGCCTACGGTGCTCCAGCTGTCGCCTACGGTACCCCCATCGGCTCCTACGGCTACCACGGTCCCCCCACCCAGGTCCACGACACTCCCGAGGTGGTCGCCGCCAAGGCTGAGTTCTTCAAGCTCTACAACAAGCAGGCAGCAGCGGCAGCCGCGGCACCTGACCTCTACACCTACCACTAAGCCAACCATTCCGATCCACTACCACACTAGCCGAGTACCTATAATAAACTTGCATCTCTAAAGATACTCTCACTACCCTATGGCCCGAAACAAACTTCCTGTATTAAGATGTTGTTATGGACATACAACATCCCTTATTGTAAAGACTTACTGTCTTGGTAAACATCTTCTCCTATGCAGGATGACACGATCTTGGTAACTTGACCATAACGGCTCGGCTGGCTCGCTGGACTGATGGTCTCCAGGCGCTCTGTGTTTAATTTCAATGTCTCTTTCAATCGCTAAGTGAGCTGCCCTCGTGGGACTTAGCGACGCTTCGCTCCCGCGTCTGTTGCAGCGGTGTACTGAATGTGTCTGCTATGTATTGAATAGGTTGTACCAGCCGTGTATTGTATATCTTGTACCAGCCATGTATTGAATAGGTTGTACCAGCCGTGTATTGTATATCTTGTACCAGCCATGTATTGAATAGGTTGTACCAGCCGTGTATTGCATGGTTTGTTCTGGGCAATATTAGATCATGCGAGGCAGGAACACCGCAATAGGCACACTGTATCATGCAAGGAAGTAACACTGTAGTAAGGCTACTCGATAATGCAGGGCAGCATCAATGCAACAGACCTCAAGGCACGAACAGTGCTGTAGGCCTACCGGATCCTGCAAAGCAGGAACATTGCAGCAAGCAAGTTGGACCATACAGCGTCTTAAACATACAGTTTTAACAGCGTCTTTCACAACTCTTTAAGATATTTTCTTCAATGACACAACTAAGCAGATTGTTGCAGTCATCCATAAGTAACTTGTTGAAGAAGTTCGTGCCTATATCCGTTCTAAATCTAAATCTGTCCACTTTAATCAATGTTTGCTACTCTTAATTATATTTATTTATTAACACGTATCCCATTTCTCATTGCTTTCATCCATTTATGCATTTCCATTATATCCCTTGATCTTCGTCTGTCAAGAGGGAGTAATCTGGACTCTCAATTTCCATTCGTAAGGAAAATTCAAGATGTTGACCAGACCACACACTAGAAAGTGAAGGGACCATGACGTTTCAGTCCGTCCTGGACCATTCTCAAGTCGATTGTACAACCTATACAACCGACTTGAGGATGGTCCAGAACGGACAGAAACGTCGTCGTCCCTTCACCTTCTAGTGTGTGGTCTGGTCAACATGCTTCAGCCACGTTATTGTGACTCCTCGTCTGCATATCGAAAATTCATGATGCCTACCTTTGTGTCCATCTCTGTATGCAAGCGCTTGAAAACTTTCAGGTTGCAGGGATTGGCTCATTCCAAAATCCTATAACTCATTCCAACTCTTGTCTATATGCTTTCTAACAAAATTGGTCATTCCGAAGTACAATGATTAAATTTTCTCAGCATAATGCAAGTAAGGTCTCAGGAGCACAAGCTAAAGCTTTTTTTTTTTTTTTTTTTTTTTGAGATATATACAAATGTTGTTACATTCTTGTACAACCTTTGTACAACCTTGTACAACCTTTGTGATACCTTTGGCTCTATCAAAATCTTCTAAATAATATCACTTTCTTGCTATATTGCGCATGTTCACATCTGCACTGTTTGTGTGGTTTTTTTGGTGTACATTGATAAATATTTATTTCAGGTACCTTTCACAGTCGGATTTATGCGTTTGCAGTGAAGAATTACTAAAGAGATGTTGATATTGATATTCTAGCAGCAAAATGTTGATATAGAAGTGTTTACCATTTTTAATTAAACCGCAACAGAGAACACATTTCGTCACCGCTGGGATGTAGGGCCTATGTTTTGTTTTTTTTTTTTTTTTTTTGAGATATATACAAGAGTTGTTACATTCTTGTACAGCCACTAGTACGCGTAGCGTTTCGGGCAGGTCCCTGGAATACGATCCCCGCCGCGAAGAATCGTTTTTTCATCCAAGTACACATTTTACTGTTGCGTTAAACAGAGGCTATAGTTAAGGAATTACGCCAAGAAATCCTCCCCGGCCAGGATACGAACCCATGACATAGCGCTCGCGGAACGCCAGGCGAGTGTCTTACCACTACACCACGGAGACTGTAGACTGTAGATGTTAGACTGCGTGCATGCAGCATCGTTCAACAGTCTAGTCTACCTGACCGTCAGTCAGGAGGCTCAACTAGACACCTTCTCGGATACCAATCCTCAGAACTGCCTCAACGTAAAATCAAAGGAAGACATTACTGCGTGCAATTGCGCTTTCCTCTCTTCTTCTTTTTTAACTAAGATCATAAGAAATGTCACTGATGTTCCTAATGAAACAGCAAGATAAGAGCTGTTATACTACATGAGCACATCTCAAGCCCAGACCTAGAAACTTAATTTAATGCAAAGTTACAATCATGTTAGCACAGCAAGCATTAGGCTGTTGAGTGATGATCTGTTTTGTGTCGTGATAGTCGCCTTCTGGCTGTTCACGAAGTTGGACAATATCACACACACAGAAATCACAATACCATACTGGACCATATTGGGAAACATTGAGAACGTTGGCCTTGTTCCAGCAAATCCACCAAAATCTTTAAGATGTTGTAGGCTCTGATACGCTGACAAGTTCAACCAGAACGAGTGTAGACTTGAGATGTTTCTTCTCGCACGCTTCTCCACCTTGTCCATAATTCTGGTAAATGATGTGAGGCAAATAGTTCAGGAGAGCGGCGCAGACTAAAGATGGGAGCGAACTCGTGCTTCATATAAGGTTTAGCAACTACTGCAGTCAAGAAAAGTAAGAGGTTCACCCATAAGGCTGTAGCTTTTCTGGGGCTGCCTCACATGTTTAGGACAAATAGTTGTTCATGGTCAACGAAGAGGAAAATTTCTCTCCCAAGATGTCAACATCTTCACTCACTCTCAGCGGGATTTTATGTGAAGAATGTATCAACAAGATCCACTTAGCATAACAATTTATTAGTGTATTTTTTGTAATGTTAAATTGTTTATATTATTATTTACTTGTTTATGTTATTGGTAAACGCGCCAGCTAGCAAAGAGTGCCCGCGCGGGCAAAGGTCCTTGATATCAATGATCACTTTGGGAGATAAACATCATTCGTGTCTATGAAACGTGATACAAAAAAAATAAAAGACAATGTGAGCTTCATGTAACGTTTCATGTCATCTTGCATTTGGAAAAACAAATTAAAGCTTACAGAGATCATTACGAGGTCAGAGGAGAGGGAGGAGGAGTTAGAGGGAGAGAGGAGTGTGTATATATAGCGGGTCTGGAGCCTCACCCAACACAGTCTGGCTCCCACCTCACACACGCTCACATCATGAGGGATCTGGTAAGAGTTTTAACACTAGTGTGTAAAAACTGCACTTTAAATGCTCGGACAATATTTCTGAAGAACATGTCACAGAATTGGTGAATTAGTTTTTAAAAGCTTTTTCTAAAGTGAAGCATGTTTTAACGGTCTCATTGTGACATGTTTTCGCCGATTTTTTATCATAATTGTTGAGCTGATTTAAACTGTTGTTTATAAAATGATACTAAAGATAATTTAATTAAAAAATATTGGTAAAAGACTGTACATAAAAGTATATACTGGTTTCTTGTTGCAGGTTGTTTTGGCAGTGATAGGCGTGTGTTCGGCCGGCTATCAGGCCTACAATCCCGGCTATCAGGCCTACAACCCCGGCTTCGGCTATGGCATCCAGCCCAAGTATGTCGGCCCCGTGGCTGCCACCATCCCCGCCGGCATCGGCGGCAAGGTCATCCCCGTCTCAGACACCTACGAAGTCGCTGCCGCTAAAGATGACTTCTACAAGGCCTACAACAAGCAATTGAAAACTCTGGATATTATCCGCTCCAGTCGTTATGGCACCCCTGGCTACGCCCCCGCTCTCCCTGTCCACAAGGCCCCTGTGGCTCCCATATTTGCCTCCACCGGCTCCTACGGTGCCCCGGCTGTCGCCTACGGTGCCCCGGCTGTCGCCTACGGTGCCCCAGCTGTCGCCTACGGTGCCCCCATCGGCTCCTACGGCTACCACGGTCCCCCCACCCAGGTCCACGACACTCCCGAGGTAGTCGCCGCCAAGGCTGAGTTCTTCAAGCTCTACAACAAGCAGGCAGCAGCGGCAGCCGCGGCACCTGACCTCTACACCTACCATTAAGCCAACCATCATAATATAAGGGTCATTTAATAATAAACAGGTATTCCAGGGAGTTAGCCAACTGTAATGGAGTTGCATCCTGGAGAGGGTCAGTAGTTTGATCTTGGTGGGGAAGACCTCGATATAAGTTTTATATATTATATTATATATATATTATTTCTGTCTCCGAATGTATTGTACACCTCCACCCCTGACAGTACTATAATAAAGTTGCATCTCTAAAAGACACTCTCACTACCCTTAAGGCCTGAAATACACTCCCTGTATCAAGATATTGTCATGATCGCACAATTAACTTCCTTTGTCGAGCAAACACTTACTAGCTTGAGCTTGGTAAACAGCTTCTCAATGACAGGTGCAGTTTACATGCTGGTTTTCTCCTCCAGATGACTGCATATGAGGGGTAATGTTGGGGGGACGCGCTAGTAACGAGTCAATGTTTATAATATGGCAAGATTTGAACGGGTTCGTTGTTGTTGCAAGTTGATACAAGGGCGACGACGAAATTTAACGTAGTTTAGAGTCATCAGACTTGACTCTCTCCTCGCACGCAGAACAGGAGAAATTCCACTATCGTAACTCAACTATAATCGCTCGGCTTTACCAAGCGGGGGTCCATAGCCCGTGCTGCTTGGGACTTTCGTTCCAAGTAGCTGAACATTAAACAACAACCAAGCGGGACTGACGCTCTTGAGGCACTCCGTGGTGCACTTCGATGTTCGTCTTCTTCAAGAACCAGGCGAGCTGCCATTGTCGGACCTCGCAGTGCCTCGCCTCCGTGTTTGTTCTCCTGGTGTGTTGCATGGTCAACTACATGCAATTTTAGATCATGCGAGTATGTCTACTTGATCATTCAGAGCAGTACAGTAGGCTTAATGGACCATGCAAGGCAGGAACACTGTGGTAGGCTTAATGGACCATGCAAGGCGGGAACACTGTGGTAGTCCTACTGGACCATGCAAGGCAGGAACACTGTGGTAGTCCTACTGGACCATGCAAGGCAGGAACACTGTGGTAGGCTTAATGGACCATGCAAGGCGGGAACACTGTGGTAGGCTTAATGGACCATGCAAGGCGGGAACACTGTGGTAGGCTTAATGGACCATGCAAGGCGGGAACACTGTGGTAGGCCTACTGGACCATGCAAGGCTGGAACACAGCAGCAGGCCTACTGGACCATGCAAGGCTGGAACACAGCAGCAGGCCTACTGGGCCCTGCAAGACAAACACTGCAGCAGGCATGCTATACCATACGTGATGGCCTCTTAAAAAATCACTGCCAGTTATTTTCTTCTCTAAAGCAATTATGTAGATTGTTCGAACTATCCATAAGTTTTTTGCCGAGCCAGTTCGTGCCTATATGCTTTGTAAATCTAAACCTGTCAGCTTTAATAAACATTTGATAGTTCTAACTTTATTATTCCATTGATATTCCCTTCCTCAATGCCTCTCACACGTTCATGTGCTTCGGTTATATTACTAGATACAACCCATCAATCTGAAAATAAAGAGAGTGACAACGTTTCGGTCCTTCCCCGGACCATTATCAAGTAGTGCCCAGGATGAACCGAAACGCTGTCACTTATACATTTTCAGACGTGTTGGCTGAGTATCCAACTTTCAGCCACGTTATTGTGTCTTGCTGTCTGCATATCCCTTGATCAGCATCTCGTAAGAGAGTAACCACGTCTCTCATAGTCTCCTCGCACGGAAGGCTCCTGATGCTGGTCTTTACATCAATCTCTGTATGGAAGCCCTGGGTAGCCTCCGCGTTCCGGGGGTCGGGTCATCTTATCTTGAGGTTATCTTGAGATGATTTCGGGGCTTAGCGTCCCTGCGGCCCGGTCCTCGACCAGGCCTCCTTTTTGTTACACACCCCCGGGAAGCAGCCCGTAGCAGCTGTCTAACTCCCAGGTCCGGAAACATGCTGAAAAGGTCCGAAAACATTTTGCCCAGTTGTCTCCGCCTCCACCGGGAATCGAACCCGGAACCTCAGGACTACGAATCCGAAGCGCTGTCCACCCAGCTGTCAGGCGTCATGCCTGGGCTCCAGAAATGATTCCGGACCTATTCAGCATGTTTTACGGTTGATCCATTCAGCCGAAAGGAGACTAAACTTGCTCTCCACATTACAAGCGAGACACTAGCCGGTGGAGGCGAAGATGGGAGCCACAGGGGCCTTGTGGACAGGGAGAGCGGGGGCGTAGCCAGGGGTGCCATAACGACTGGAGCGGATAATATCCAGAGTATTCAGCTGCTTGTTGTAGGCCTTGTAGAAGTCAAGCTGAGGGTTTAGGAGACTATTGGCATTTCTATTACAGAATATTAAGACAAAATCAAGGAATCTGATGACAATATTGCGCAAGTTCACAAGGAATCTGATGACAATATTGCGCAAGTTCACAAGGAATCTGATGACAATATTGCGCAAGTTCACAAGGACTCTGATGACAATATTGCGCAAGTTCACAAGGACTCTGATGACAATATTGCGCAAGTTCACAAGGACTCTGATGACAATATTGCGCAAGTTCACAAGGACTCTGATGACAATATTGCGCAAGTTCACAAGGACTCTGATGACAATATTGCGCAAGTTCACAAGGACTCTGATGACAATATTGCGCAAGTTCACAAGGACTCTGATGACAATATTGCGCAAGTTCACAAGGACTCTGATGACAATATTGCGCAAGTTCACAAGGACTCTGATGACAATATTGCGCAAGTTCACAAGGACTCTGATAGCCTGGTTTTAGGTGTTTGTTAATATATATTTCTAGTGTTGGTAGTAAAGAGCTGATAACGAGGTGTCGGCGATATAGAACTGATAACGAGGTCTTGGCGATATAGAGCTGATAACGAGGTCTTGGCTATATAGAGCTGATAACGAGGTCTTGGCGATATAGAGCTGATAACGAGGTCTCGGCGATATATAGCTGATAACGATGGCAGTGAAATATTGACACTGAAGTGCTACCATCTATATTTAAACTTCACCTGACGTATTTTGTCACCGCTTGAGTGTGTGGTACTTAAGTCGGATTGATCATTGATTGATTAAGTCGGATTGTTGCGTGTAACTGCGCACAACAGTCTAGTCGACCAGACCGTCAACCAGTTGGCTCAACCGGACAACGTGCTTTGGGGATCTTAATATTATCTTAATCTTAAGACCGACTTAAGACATCATTGAGCACCTCTCTCTCTCAGCGGGGATCTGTGTAGGATGTTTCAACAAGATCCACTCAACTTTTGTCGACAAAGTCACTAGTATTATTATTATAATTTTTAACTTGTTGACATTGTTTTCTATTTATTAATGGTGGTGGTGGTAAACAAGCCATGTAGCAAACAGTGGCCGTGCGTGCAAGGTCCAGGACGTCAATGATCACTTTGGGAGATAAACATCACTTCTGCCTACGAAACGTGATACGAAAAAAAAAGATAATGTGAGCTTCATGTAATGCTATTTCGCAATTAAAAAAAGAAAACAAATTAATGCTTACAGAGATCATTACGAGGTCAGAGGAGAGGGAGGAGGAGTTAAAGGGAGAGAGGAGTGTGTATATATAGCGGGTCTGGAGACTCACCCAACGCAGTCTGGCTCCCACCTCACACACGCTCACATCATGAGGAATCTGGTAAGAATCTATCTAGGATTTTATGGCTAATGTGTGTGGAAAAATTGGCCTCTTAGTGCTTGCAAAATTATTCTTTCTAACATGAATCTCAGAATTTATGGGCTAGTTTTTAAAAGATTCCAAAACAATTTTAATGTTTTCATTATGACATGTTTTACTTTACTTATTTATTATTATTATTGGGCTGATATGCAATGTTGTTTATAAAGTATAATTATAGTACTGAAAACGCTTATAAAAATGTACAACAAGTTTGGTTCATACATATACCAGTTAATTTTTCCTGTTTCAGGTTGTTTTGGCAGTGATAGGCGTGTGTTCGGCCGGTTATCAGGCCTACAACCCCGGCTATCAGGCCTACAACCCCGGCTTCGGCTATGGTGTCCAGCCCAAGTATGTCGGCCCCGTGGCTGCCACCATCCCCGCCGGCATCGGCGGCAAGGTCATCCCCGTCTCAGACACCTACGAAGTCGCTGCCGCTAAAGATGACTTCTACAAGGCCTACAACAAGCAGCTGAATACTCTGGATATTATCCGCTCCAGTCGTTATGGCACCCCTGGCTACGCCCCCGCTCTCCCTGTCCACAAGGCCCCTGTGGCTCCCATCTTCGCCTCCACCGGCTCCTACGGTGCCCCGGCTGTCTCCTACGGTGCTCCATCTGTTTCCTACGGTGCCCCAGCTGTCGCCTACGGTGCCCCGGCTGTCGCCTACGGTGCCCCCATCGGCTCCTACGGCTACCACGGTCCCCCCACCCAGGTCCACGACACTCCTGAGGTGGTCGCCGCCAAGGCTGAGTTCTTCAAGCTCTACAACAAGCAGGCAGCAGCGGCAGCCGCGGCACCGGACCTCTACACCTACCACTGACCTCATATTTTTCACCACTGAGTCAACTGTTAGGGTTTACTACTAACTTTACAACGAATATATAATAAATTGGCATCCATATCAAATATAATCATTATCCTTATGTCATCAAAGAACATAAATTGTCTAAAATCAAGTGTTATACTATCATGATCACCGACAACTTGCGTCCACTTGAAGGAAGTAATTGAGGCGTTGGATACTTAAAACTTCCGGTGGGTCATCTTATATTGAGCAAAGCTTTGAAACAGAGATGGCCTATATGTACGATATTCTTTTCCACGAATTGATTAAGATGAATGCTGAATATCAAGACATGTGGTGTCGTTCTTTGGTTTAACATCCCACGCGAGAGAACACAGGAAGAATGAAAGAGCATTTGTGAATGCATGTTGAAACTAGACGAGGGGCTCCAGCACCACGATATACAACAGCCGACTGGACAATTTGGTCAAGTTGTGTTCATCTGGGCAGTGCAAAGCTTTGTTCATGAACATTAAAACTCACAGCTCAGTGTGAAGGTCAGTTTACTGTTGCACGAGACACTGTTGCGAATTTCTGCACGAAAACTTTTACTACTTACTAGAAAATTACTTTTACTACTTATTAAAAACTACTTACTCATTTTATTTTGTATTTACATATATACAGGCGTTCTTACATTCTTGTAAAGCCACTAGCACGCGGAGCGTTTCGGGCGGGTCTTTAATCCTAGTTTTCCCTGGAATACGACCCGCCAAATCGTCTAGCAACCGGTCACTCATTTACTGCTGGGTGAACAGAGGCGTATGGTTAAGGATTGGCGTCTAGTCAATTCTCCCCGGCCAGGATACGAAGCTTGGCCAAATCGCTCGCGAAGTGTGGGGCGAATGTGTTACTACTGTGCCATGGGAATATTACTCATAATAATGATGTAATTAGTGTGTTTGATTGCACTGTCATATATTATTTTCTCTGTGGGCTCTGTCATAAAAACGATTTGATGTAGCAATATTCAGTTACATCCTCCGAAAAAAAAACTAATTTTTCCAGTGCTCTTTCTGTCCAGTCTATTTTACTAAAATTAAAGTTACCTACAATAAATACATAGAACATCTTTATGCTATAGATATTTTTACCCAGATATGGCGCCTCTTTCATTCTATGTTGCGTTAAATAACTACTATTATCAGGGAATTATTAATTTTGTTTTTATATCAGCTGTTTTTTTCAAGTGTCTCTAATTTGAGTCTCTACTTGACACTATATTCAACATTTTCTCTAGTCAATGGTGCTACTCACCCTTGTCTACTGTGTCAGTGTTAAGTAACGAATAGCGCTCCCTAAGCTAGCTGAACAGCCTGTCCTCCTCAGGTTTCATAACGTCATGTTGTTGTTGTCTTAGAATTAGCTACTCAAAACGAAGTGTCCATGTAGCACGGGCTATGGTGAGCCCGTAACCAAAACGTCAAGAAAACGGTTCATTTTAAAATGTCCTCTCCTAACCTAACAGACTAAACCAGAGGCCCCACAACAGAAAACGGGACAGTACGTCACTTTCGCGAGCCGCTTCCATTTTCTAGTGCGACAATTTTTGGTCCTATGTAACACATATGAGCAAAAAGCGACGTTGTTTGTTGGAGGACACGTTGAACTGAAACACAGGCCAAAGCAAAGTCTGAGGAGCAATAACACTTTATATACTTTGGAGGCGTAAGCAATCAGAAAATAACACTCCTCGAGGACAAATATTTTGTAACATAATAATAATAATTATTATTATTATTTTACGCATAATTAATGCTACCTATTTTGTGGGTGTTGCAAGACAGAGCTGTAATACATGTACAGGAGCCCGGCTTTGCAAGACTGAAAGAACACAAATGTTACGTACTGTCGCTACCCAATGTACCTTGTTGTATATAAATACAAAATTAATACATAAATAATACTTTAAATGAATACCTCTATGTTGCATTTGCCATTTATTAACAAAATATTTGGACCATAGAAGTAACCGTATGGTGTGGGGCTTCAGCCTCTTGACAAAACGAGTTCCATTATTTTATCTGGGATGATACGAGCTACGGAAACCTTGTAATTATTGCTGGTTAGAAAACAGGGTTGTCGTTTTATCGGCCAAATAACCGCTTAACAATTATTTTTTCAAGCCAAGTTTGGACATCTAAATGAATGTGCTTGCGTGCTTATAATGAAATGCTGCTCCGTAAAGGCCAATGTGTCTTCTGTTTCGTGGACTTTGGTAGAAAATACACAACATACCAGCCATATATCTACTAATGTTGGAGAATGTTCATGAGTGGTGATGTAAACTAGTACACGAGTATCTTAACTATCTCCTTGTTCGTGGACTCACGGATACCCAAGCAACTTTCCCACATATACTCTCTAACGGATTTAATCCTTAACGCTACATGGATTCAAAGTTTTCATTCACGTGTACGTAATTGTGTAAAAGACATTTCGTACGCTAAACACTATACTAGAGATCATTATATCCTAAAAACTGTACTAGAGATCATTATATATCTTAAACACTGTACTAGCGATCATTATATATCCTGAACACTGAACTAGCGATCATTATATATCCTAAACACTGAACTAGAGATCATCATATATCCTAAACACTGTACTAGAGATCATCATATATGTTGACCAGACGACACACTAGAAGGTGAAGGGACGACGACGTTTGGGTCCGTCCTGGACCATTCTCAAGTCGATTGTCTTGAGAATCATCATATATCATCATCATCATCACATATCCTAAGCACTGTACTAGCCATCAAGGTTGACTTAATTTAGCGATCGTTGTAACATGCCTCGTGACTGCAGAGCGTGACACACGCACACACACAAACGGATATTACAACTTTAGAACATCACTTTATGTTATTTCACCTCCCGGAGCCCATGACAAGGTCAGAGCCATGGGTGTAGTGAGGGAGGGAGAGAGGAGTATATATAGCGGGTCTGGAGCCACACCCAACACAGTCTGGCTCCCACCTCACATACCCACACATCATGAGGGCTCTGGTAACTATACCTCTTTTTGTTAATGAGTTGGAAATGTGAAATTATAATTATGAACAAATATATATCCCAAGAGGTATACCCCCAGCATTTCTGTTTATAGACATAGTTTAATTTAGTTCTGGAGTATATTCAGGATTAAATTAAACTTGCTGGTTGATCAGGAAGGTAATATGGCTGCCTTAACAATCCTTCAGTGATTCATAGGCCTGAAACCCAACACCAAACCTACGTGAAATTTGAGCTTCGAAAAATACTTCCTATTATGTTTGATAAATTATCAATCATATTTGGATGTACTTTATAAATTAAATATATTTATATAATAAATAATATTTTCATATGGGTTTCACTTTAATAATATGCAGGTAGATCAAGCATGTTAAAGTTACTGACCTGAATTAATCACTCCTTTTATCAATCGAGTTTAGTTATGAGAGCATTTTAAATGTTGGAGGGTAACTTGATATCACTCCATATTTCTACAGTTATCCCGATCTGACAACCTTAAATTCCTTCTTCCTATTGTAGGTTGTTTTGGCAGTGATAGGCGTGTGTTCGGCCGGCTATCAGGCCTACAACCCCGGCTATCAGGCCTACAACCCCGGCTTCGGCTACGGTGTCCAGCCCAAGTATGTCGGCCCCGTGGCTGCCACCATCCCCGCCGGCATCGGCGGCAAGGTCATCCCCGTCTCAGACACCTACGAAGTCGCTGCTGCTAAAGATGACTTCTACAAGGCCTACAACAAGCAGCTGAATACTCTGGATATTATCCGCTCCAGTCGTTATGGCACCCCTGGCTACGCCCCCGCTCTCCCTGTCCACAAGGCCCCTGTGGCTCCCATCTTCGCCTCCACCGGCTCCTACGGTGCCCCGGCTGTCTCCTACGGTGCCCCGGCTGTCGCCTACGGTGCCCCCGTCGGCTCCTACGGCTACCACGGTCCCCCCACCCAGGTCCACGACACTCCCGAGGTGGTCGCCGCCAAGGCTGAGTTCTTCAAGCTCTACAACAAGCAGGCAGCAGCGGCAGCCGCGGCACCTGACCTCTACACCTACCACTAAGCCCCACTAACACTTGCCACTGATCCCGAACGATCTACTTAAGGCATCAAGGACTTGGAAAAAATATCTGAATAATAAAGCATAAACAATTCCGTTTTCTATATTATTTTCACGATCTGAGACACAAATTAGCAAATATTTTATTACTGTTGCTATTCACGTACGTAAAATTCCTTGTGTTAATATTACCTGCTGTCGATTCTAATGATTGTTCTAATCTTACACCCAACATATGCTTCCTTGGTAATAGCCCTGTAGATAGTAGATAGTAGGCATCCATGAGTCTCAGGAGACTATGGAGTTGCGCTCTGGGTGTCGGTCAGACATATACAACAACGGCCATGAGGGACCGACTGCCTTGTTATTTCCCTGCCATTCTCTGGTTATTTCCCTGCCATTCTCTGGTTATTTCCCTGCCTAGCTTCTAAATTACTTTATTTACTTGTATTCGTTTTGTATTCTTTAAAAGTCATGTGATGATATATCAGCTGGGAGAGGAGGCAGGGGGGGATGATCATTATATAACTGAGCATCTCTGTTTCGTTATGGAATTTTTCACTTACAATGGATACAATTGAAATTGAGGTCACCTCTTAGAGACGTGAGTTTTGCTCCAGTAAGGAACATTTTAAGAGATACGGGAAGAGAATTTATTCAATTATTATTATTATTATTTATATATATATATATATATATATATATATATATATATATATATATATATATATATATATATATATATATGACAATGTCAGACCACGGAGGAAAAATGAAACAGGAAATTTCCTTAAGTACTTTCGTATATTAAATACATCTTCAGAAGGTCATTACAAATTGGTCAGGTCATTACTTCAATAACAAATTGTAAAAGCACCTATAACAGAAACATAATTGAATCCGCTTTGATACAGATCACCAAAGAAAGTAATTTGAATATTAGCAGTGGTCTATATAACTTAGATCCATTTCTAATAGATCAGCTAAAGGGCGATTTAAGTAGAATCATTGAAAAACATTTGTCTCACTAATTTATTGTATATATTTACCTCTTTATGTTATAATTACCTATGCATTATGCTTGTATGTCTGCTGTATCAGATGGGCCATTGGGCTACATCGGATGGGCCAATTGGGTGCATCTGATGGGCCAATGGGCCTTCTGCGTTGTCCAAGTATTGTACCTCACCTTACTTCACCACTCTCTCCTGCCTATTTATACCCATCACTCGATCTGTAAAATGACCTTCTGAAGATGTATTTAATATACGAAAGTACTTAAGGAAATTTCCTGTTTCATTTTTCCTCCGTGGTCTGACATTGTCACATTCTTAATCACGTGTTTATTTTCGTGATATACACACATATATATATATATAATGTCGTACCTAGTAGCCAGAACGCACTTCTCAGCCTACTACGCAAGGCCCGATTTGCCTAATAAGCCAAGTTTTCATGAATTAATGTTTTTTCGACTGCCTAACCTACCTAACCTAACCTAACCTAACTTTTTGGGCTACCTAACCTAACCTAACCTAAAAAGATAGGTTAGGTTAGGTTAGGTAGGGTTGGTTAGGTTCGGTCATATATCTACTTTAATTTTAACTCCAATAAAAAAAATTGACCTCATACATAATGAAATGGGTAGCTTTATCATTTCATGAGAAAAAAATTAGAGAAAATATATTAATTCAGGAAAACTTGGCTTATTAGGCAAATTGGGCCTTGCATAGTAGGCCGAGAAGTGCGTTCTGGCTACTAGGTACGACATTATATATATATATATATATATATATATATATATATATATATATATATATATATATATATATATATATATATATATATATAAGGCACAACTCTCCTAAACATGAGAGTGAAGTATACAACTTTATAACACTTTCCCACCAGGAGACTCGAACCCTAGCCAGCACAGAAGCCTTCCAGCAACTGGCATAACAGGTACGCCTTAACCCGCTCCACCACCTGCTCAGACCCTTAAAAGAGATGGTAATTTCGGAGTATTTAAATACACCAAAGATCACCACCTCCCAAGAGCACTAGAGCAAGTGCTCTAGCGGGTTAAGCGGGTTAAGGACACTTAAGTTAAGGCGTACCTGTTATGCCAGTTGCTGGAAGGCTTCTGTGCTGGCTAGGGTTCGAGTCTCCTGGTGGGAAAGTGTTCTAAAGTTGTATATATATATATATATATATATATATATATATATATATATATATATATATATATATATATATATATATATATGTCAACCAAACGCTTATATCTACCTCACACCCAATTTTGCACAGTGACTGGTGTTGGTGCCCAACATGGACGGGAAATGGGGGTCGACAAAATTGCTCAGAATACAACGTGGCACAATTTCATAGTAAACCCTTTAACTATTAGTTCGACGCTTTTTCAACAAAAACTCCAATACAATTTATCTCTTTATCCAGTATCGTAAAACACTATGCAATTAAATTTTAAAATATCTACTCAGATTTGCTCTGAACAGAGTGAAAAAATTTTGAAGTCATCGATTTTGGTGACATCCCTTGCTCGCACAGGAACGATGCCTCGACCTCCATACACACCTCTCACTCTCTCCTAAGAGCCCTGAACGTGCCCAGGCGCTCACTAAGAGACAGACAGGGTTCCCCTAGGAACCACTATGGGTACCAAATTTTCAATATTATGTTATCTATATCTATAAATGGAAATATCTGTTTATTCGAAGATGGAGGCTTGAAGCTAACTTCGCCCAATTTTCCCAGTAATTCCAGTTGGGGACGTGCCCAACATGGTCGGGATGAGATTAGAGTAAAAAAAAAAAAAAGTGTGCCAAATGACATCGGGCCTTCATTCTTACAAAAATCTCACAATGTTATATGATTTGAATCTTAGTATTATTATTATTATGCTTTTTGGCCAGAAACTAAATGCATCAATCATCCTAAAATATAAATAATCTGGTTATAACAATTAACCTTTAAATCCCCAAAGCTGTAATGATGGGGGTTTCCCCTTAGGCTTCATGGGTTGTGTGTTGAACCAACTATTTGTGAAGGGTTCTTTTAGCGTTAGAAAGTAGTGATACTGTAGGAGAGAGGGAGAGAGAGAGGGAGGGGGGAGCGGGAAAGCAGATGGAAATGGAAGATGATTCTATCTTCCACTTTGTCCATTATCTGATTTCTCCATCATCATCTCTCTGAATAAATAATCAGTTAAAGCTTCTTAGGAAGATTTAATTCTTGTGAATACATAAAAATTTCCATTGTACTTTGGCTAATTTCGATTGGGTGGCAATAGTAACACTTAGTTTTGAGCGATATTTATCACTAATATCTAATCATTATTACAAGTAACATTCTTAACCCATTTCCTGTCGTCTTTAACTAAAATAGAATTTCTATTATTTATTTGAGAATTATGTTGAATACAAAACTGTTGCAGATTAATAAGGGCAGACTCAGAGTAAGGCAGATCCTTGTCAACAACACTTATGATGAAAATGTTTTCATTGAAATTGATGATTTAAGTAATGCATGAAAAGGTTCTTTTATATCTATTTATATTGAACGTTTTTGTGGAATCAATTCACATGCGTAATTTATAATAACAAAATATTAATTGCATAAATGTGTATGTCTTACAGATACTGGCAGTAACTTTACGTTATACTTTGAAATGTGTTCACAATTTATTTGTTTGCAGTACTAAAATAAAGAACAATGCCTAACCATCAGTAACACGTGTTTCGCCAGACTAAAAATACCATTTGTTTGTAATGCCTTTTAATATTCACGTACACCGACAATCCATCCTTTACAAAAACAACAACAATCCGCAAAATACGTTCGTGCTTCAGTGCGAGAACGACAAAAACATTAATTCCCAAATGATGGTAATCAGTGAAAGCTTATTTACACCTTGATAAAATATTTGTTCCACGACTCTGTCACCCGGCTCGTGATTTATATAGCAATCTGGATGTAAGGCAGATTAGCCCGACTTAGAGCAGCGTCTTCCTCGTACGATACGATCAGATTGGCAAGATCAACCGCGTAAATCTCAGTGTTTATTATGAAATAGAAACAGCGTTATGATACGGAGAATTATCTCGCTATGTTAACGTACAAGACACACCAAGAGGTAACTTCGTCTGAATTGTACTGCCTTAATTTCATGGCGTAAGTCTGTTTTGAAAATTACACTTTTGCAACTAAGACTTGAAGATATAGGCGATTCGTTGCGATTATCAAGTTGGTTTGTCGACTCTCGAGCCGAGAAGTAACGGTGTGGCTGGGTTGAATGTGTAGTAGCAGCTTAGTTGTAGGTGTAGAGGTCAGGTGCCGAAGCTGCCGCTGCTGCCTGCTTGTTGTAGAGCTTGAAGAACTCAGCCTTGGCGGCGACCACCTCGGGAGTGTCGTGGACCTGGGTGGGGGGACCGTGGTAGCCGTAGGAGCCGATGGAGGCACCGTAGGAGCCGATGGGGGCACCGTAGGAGACAGTCGGGGCACCGTAGGAGACAGCCGGGGCACCGTAAGAGACAGCTGGGGCACCGTAGGAGACAGCTGGGGCACCGTAGGCGACAGCCGGGGGACCGTAGGAGCCGGTGGAGGCGAAGATGGGAGCCACAGGGGCCTTGTGGACAGGGAGAGCAGGGGCGTAGCCAGGGGTGCCATAACGACTGGAGCGGATAATATCCAGAGTATTCAACTGCTTGTCGTAGGCCTTGTAGAAGTCATCTTTAGCAGCAGCGACTTCGTAGGTGTCTGAGACGGGGATGACCTTGCCGCCGATGCCGGCGGGGATGGTGGCAGCCACGGGGCCGACATACTTGGGCTGGACGCCATAGCCGAAGCCAGGGTTGTAGGCCTGATAGCCGGGGTTGTAGGCCTGATAACCGGCCGAACACACGCCTATCACTGCCAAAACAACCTGTAACAGTAAGTAGAGCCTAACCATGATGCTGTAAAGATTCCAAATCACTGACCATGCAACATAAGTCCAGGCAGATTATGTTCTATCTTCCGTAAGGCTTTATTGTTAATGATTAACTTCAACGTTGTATTAAAGTATAGAAGTGGTATAGTTACCAAAACCCTCATGACTAGTGTGTGTGGGGGGAGATCCAGAAGACTGTGGTGGGTGGGATCCTGCCTCGCAATATATACTCAGCTCGCAGCCTTCACGGGTATTACGACTCATATCATCTGCTTGATGTTGCTTCATTCTCCCCAAAAGGAATTTTTCCAATTCATCTACACTCGAAGCAAGCGGTGGCCCCGAAATGTGGCATCACGTTAATCCACAGTTCATGGTCTGCACTTTTTAAAATATTGGTCCGGCGAACAGCGTTATAACACACGATGAAGGAGAACAATAAGATGAGGTGAAGGGTCGTTAACGACGATGGTTGACCTTGGAGTTGAACTGCAAGCAACCGGGCGAGACACTCTCCCTCCGGAAGAGTGAGTGAGTGCGTGCGTGAATGCACTCGCGGGGCGTGGCATGCATGCTCGCAGCATTTCCGACGCTCGTGTTAATATTGATCGGTGGTAACCTGGTCATAGACTTACACGACTTTTAATTACAAGTTTCTTAAATAGTACTTAGCTAGTACAGTATTATTTTGGGTGTCAGAATTATAACATTACACAAGTGTGCGGTCAGGTTGGGTCATTAGGCCGGAGTCAGGCTCGGTCATTAGGCCGGGGTCAGGCTCGGTCATTAGGCCGGGGTCAGGCTCGGTCATTAGGCCGGGGTCAGGCTCGGTCATTAGGCTGGGGTCAGGCTCGGTCATTAGGCCGGGGTCAGGCTCGGTCATTAGGCCGGGGTCAGGCTCGGTCATTAGGCCGGGGTCAGGCTCGGTCATTAGGCTGGGGTCAGGCTCGGTCATTAGGCCGGGGTCAGGCTCGGTCATTAGGCCGGGGTCAGGCTCGGTCATTAGGCCGGGGTCAGGCTCGGTCATTAGGCCGGGGTCAGGCTCGGTCATTAAACAGTACCACGAGAGCAAACTTGTGTATAAACTGCCAAAATGCATAATTTGCTCCTTACAACTAAAAGTCTTGCACGAATAATGCAATATGTAACAACAATTCTTAACGTGACTGTCCATCAACAAAACGCCAAAACCGAACTATTTTCCCACCAATCTGAAAACGGAAACTGTTCATATCCAAGTGTTCAAGGGTTGAAAGTAAGTGATCAAATGAACACACACGAATTGTGGTCACTTTTCCCCCTTTGTTTAGCTTCCGGAAAGGAAAGCGAAGGGAATGGAAAATGGGAGGGATTATGGTGGCTGGAGGGTATGGTGGAAAATACATTAAATTAATTATATCAAAATCAATAATCAAAACACAATATTAAGAACAATGGATCACAAATAAGAACAAGAACATATGTAACATCAAGACCCATGTTCTCAAAAGCGATAATTCTCAAGTGCACTCGATGGAAAAAAAAATAAAGTCATTGTTCCCACGAAAGATAATTTTTAAATCCAACATTACAAGGAAATACCTGTGAAGAATTGGGCCTTGAAGCCCACGATAATTGTTGTTTGACCGTGGTACTGCAGTTGTGCTGGGAGGGGGGGGGGTAGGGGGAGGGGGTAGGTCGGCTGGAGGTAGAAGAGGGGGGGAGGGAGGTCAGGCTGGAGGTAGAAGAGAGGGGGAGGGAGGTCAGGCTGGACCTGAAAGAGGGGGGGAGGGAGGTCAGGCTGGACCTGAAAGAGGGGGGGAGGGAGGTCAGGCTGGACCTGAAAGAGGGGGGGAGGGAGGTCAGGCTGGACCTGAAAGAGGGGGGGGAGGGAGGTCAGGCTGGACCTGAAAGAGGGGGGGGAGGGAGGTCAGGCTGGACCTGAAAGAGGGGGGGGGGGAGGAAGGTGGGGAAGGTCAGGCTGGGTCTGCGGAAAATGGGGTCAACCAGTTCATCATTTCCCAAATCATGGAGGCTTAGTTTCCCTATATTAAATAGCTTACAAGCTCCGCAACCCACCGAGGTTGTCCAACACGGGAATAACCGCGAATAGCCAAGTTTCCCGGCTGGTAAACTGTGAAATATACGCAGACTTAGCCCCCACGGATCGAGAAAAAGATGTACAGGTGTCGCAAGTAAATGCCTGACGACTCCTGGCTCTGGTGTCGTGTACGGGGTCAGATGTTGAGAGCTGTAACGTACGGTACGTGGAAAGAACGGCACGACTCGCTACGGCACGACACGCTACCTGCCCGTCCTTATAAACAGCGCTAAATGCTCCTTGATCCGGAGCAAGACCCCTTCTATCTGTATTTTATCACTTTATACACGATTCACAACTGATTACGATCGTATTTTTGTCTTTTCTTTAAACAGTGTTTTCTGATCTTTCTGTGTTCGAATCGCATCTGTTTGCGTACCTTCACACACGTATTACTAATGTAACCACCTGTCAACAGAACCCCTTTAACCATGTGGTTAAGTGATACTTTTCAAGGCCTAACTACACTCAAAATTATAATATACATTATTATTAATATATATTTGAGAAAATGACGCTTTTGGTTACACAGTACCTTAACATTTGCGAATGTGTGTTGACCAGACCACACACTACAAAGTGAAGGGACGACGACGTTTCGGTCCGTCCTGGACCATTGCGAATGTGTCGTTGGAGGCGACCGCAGCTTGGACGAACATAACCGGAGGATGAGTCGATTTTCAACACCACAACTACGAACATTTGGGTTTGGGTCTTACGACACCGAGTTACCGTTAAGGAAACTAATGTTTCTCGCACTCTGAGATCAGTCTTAAACACCGGACCACCCGACCACTGACAACGTTATGAGTATATTAACTACCACCCGCAATGGGCACGACCTTACCATCTCAGAGACATAACTCGGTAGGAAATGAAGCCTCACTTGAATACCAAAATTTCGGCGACACAAATGTTAATTTAACAGGTGTTAAGTTAACACCTGTTAAGTTTCTCAGCTGTTTTTTCACATTTACGTAGTTTATTCATTTTTGTATTTTGTTTTATGTTAGTTTTGATATATTTTTAATTGTGACTTGTTAAGATAGTTTTCTTTTCAATTTGATTGAAAAATTTCTTTCAAATTTAATTGTGACATGTTAAGTTCTTTACACATTTCATTTTGTATTTTAGCTAATTGCTTTGTTTGACCCTGATGGTAATGTCTCCTCTGAACAGCTGGAAAGTTGATTTATTTATTTAATTATTTATTTATTTATTTATTTATACACGAAGGTACTTTGTTGTGTGAAATTACATATGTTTTGGTGATTAAGTGATGCATTCTTGCAAAGACACTAACACGCGTAAAGTATCATTCTCATTAATGAAATTCCGACTTCCAATTGGGTAACCTTTATCAAAGAAAGGGACAGAGAGAACAGAAGTGATTGGGCGTGTTTCCTATCGCCTAATGCTCTGTCCACCCAGCAGTAAACAGGTACCCAGGAGTTAGTCAGTTTATTGTGGGGGTTGCATCATGGGGAAGGGTCTGTAATTAGACCCCAGGGGGGGGGGGGAGGACTAGAACTAATAGCTCGATTCTGCAGGTACAAATAGTGAATATAAATGGTAAATACACACACACACACACACAATATGAAAGAGGAATATCTGAAGTTTGCATTCTTGATTTCCTTTGTTTTCTCCATCCATTGTCTTCTCTCTTTCTCTTTCCTCAACCTGTTCCCCCTTCTCTATTCTCTTCTACTCCTCTCCGTTCTCCTCCCACTCTCCCTCTCGTTCTCCTTCCCCATGGCCTTCATGGCGTCTTTGTACGACAGTAGAGTAATTCCCAGGTGACAGTTACCGTGTGGACGTGACACTACCATGGCGGCCACGCCTTCACTTACATATATATATAAATCTTACCTATTTTGCTCTTTGGAGATGTTTGTTAGTTCGTCCGGCGAGTCTTGTCCGGGTTAACGAGTGTCCGGATTATCGGGGGTCGTATGATCAGTTGGTCGGTTGAGTTACCGGGATTTGTGATAAGTTTTGCAAAATGCCAGAGAACGTTTACAAATGGCGCGAACAAAGATTATAGCAACAGTAGTGGTAATCGTTAGCTGGTAGCGAGTGGTATCAGATGCGTGTGTAGGCGATGAGTCACAATAACGTGGCTGAAGTATGTTGACCAGACCACACACTAGAAGGTGAAGGGACGACGACGTTTCGGTCCGTCCTGGACCATTCTCAAGTCGATTGTGACTTGAGAATGTATCAGATGCATTTTGTTGAAATAGGTCTAGTTTGCTTATGTTGTTTGACACTTATTTAAAATCAATGGTTTTCGTTGGCGGTTCTTAACTATGCTGGCGCCGGCAAATATTCTGATTTTGAAGTCATATATTATTTCAAAATCGCGTACAAGAACAAATTTGTTTATCATATATGTGCCCACCTAAATGTTCTTCCCTCTGTATGTGCTGAGTACCTACCTCCACCCTCTCCCCCACCACCTCTCTCTCTCTCTCTCCATCCCTCCACTATGTCTACCACGTCCTTGAGCAACTCGATCAAAACCAATGTCACACGCACAAAAATAGTTACACGAAGATTATGATCGAATTCTTTTAAGTTAAAAAGATAGAGATATGCAAGATATCCAGCACACACAGCTGAACAATTGAGGTGTATCCAGGTGTGTAGTTTTTTATCCTACACACAGAGTTCATGTTATCACATTTATAGTATTTACCAGCTATCGAATGAACAGACTATTATATATATATATATATATATATATATATATATATATATATATATATATATATATATATATATATATATATATATATATATATATATATATATATATATATATATATATATATATATATATCACCCGAAGTCCGTCTAAAAAGGACTAACATTTTGTCTATTTTGAGAGGAATCAGAAGCTATTTTATACAAGTATTTAAGATCATGAATGCCATGACAATCATGTCCAAGAAAAATAATTTAATTCGACATTGTCTTGCGTTCCATGGAACAATGGCTATAAAGTTCGAGACAAAAATGTTTTAACAGAAACGAAGCGAGAAACGTTTTCAATTATTCCAAGAGTAAACAAGTGGACAACTTAGCAAATTATATTACTCCGAGTAATTCCATTTAACAATAGAATTCACAAGTACTAATCTTCAAATCTACGTCATTTATTGTTTATGAAAAGCCTATGACAACACAAACTGCCTAGTTTGGGTCTGATGACCTGTTGCTTTTGTAATTAAAATGCAATTATGTATAATTCTCAGATACAATACAAATTATTCGTGATCTAAGGTAACTATTACATTTAAAATAAACCACACAAAGGTCTTTTCATCTGACAGTAAGAAATAAGTTTGAAATTCAACTATAAGGCTTAATTATAACAAATATTTGACTTCGAAACGCTCTGAGTAATCGGGGCTTCATTATCATTAATATATTTGAACAAATCCACAGGAGCCTTAATGAGGGTTCGAACCTATGTGTTGAGTGTTCCCAAACGCTCTCTAGACCACTGTACTACGAACTCTCATCAGGGCTTCAGTAGATTTGTTCTTAGATACATCACGTTAAAGTGATTTACCTGCATATTATATAATTATTATATAGTTATTTTATAGTTATATATATATATAATAACTCTACAATAATTATATAATAAGTTAGCACTGACAGACTGACTGAGACGCCACTCCAGACCGACAACCAGAGCGCAACTTCATAGTCTCCTGAGACTGATGGATGCCTACTAAGTTAGCAAGACTCTTAGTCAGTGAGGAGAGCGACGGGGCCAAGGTCCGGGACGTGGGGTACAGCCTGACGCAGATCGTCGACGGAGCAGCAGTAGGTGAAGCCGGACACCAAGTCGTTGACGTCGAAGTCTATCCAGCCGAGGCTGTCGCAGAGGTCGCTGCAGATCTTCGCCGGGGCCCTGGTCAGGTGGGGATTATTAACTCCTACCACAGCAGCTGCTCTTTGCCTCCCTTCGTCGTGCACCACCTGTGGCATAGATACATACATTGCCTCCGTACTTGGACTAGCAAGGAAACATCCTCTTTCATAGGTATCGATAGATTATACAAATATTATGGTACTAGAAGCTGACCTTCCAGGTGATAGCTGGAGCGGGGACGACCTTCTTATCCTCAGAGAGACCCAGATAGATCTCAACGGGGTTGTTGTTGATATCGTCTAGCTCCAGGACTCCCCATCCTCCGCTGTAGATAGTTAAATCACTGTTGTGTTTCGTGGCCAGGTCACGGGTCGCGTACTCCAGGTACTGCAATGTGGAACAGGCCATGAAGGGATCCATCCACTCACCCAAATGCCACGCCATCTACCATTCAGCTGCCACACCATCTACCATCCAGCTGCCATTCCATCTAATACTGACCCACCTTCCAGTTGCCATTGTTGAAGGCCTGCCACTGAGGGAGAGCATTGATAAAGTAGTAAGTGGCATCCTGCTCTGCCACGGTCACGAAGTCAGCGTCGGGTGCCATGTGGCCCTTGGCAAAGTAGAACTGCTTGCTGACATCAATGACTTCGTTGGCCAAATCCTGAGGACAGGAGCGAGAGCATACATGCTTAATGTGCCGTATGAACGCGATCAATGATGCCGCATCTTATATATTTCTTTAAATAACACACTGAAAACACAAAATTGGTGCTAAATTGTTTGATTACAAGAACGCAACGCGTGAGGGTGTCTCAGGGACTTGTGATGCAAAGGTTAAAACACTTGAAACAGGATTAATCTATACAAAATGTTAAAAAATCCTAAAATGACCAAATTTGGATAAAAAGCTGTGCGAATCAGATTAAAAAAGTGATCAAAGAAGTGAAAGAAGATGAGGTTTTTATAGACCCACAAAAGGTACTGTACTCTGGCTACTGTTATGCTAAATGTGAATATTCAAAACGTTGAGAAAAACACTTAACAAGACAAGAACAGAGAAGCATATTGAAGAAGTCATCAGTGGCGACCTTCAATGTACGAATCAATGTCTTGATATGAGCGACAAAACCAATAGAATTAATGTGCGAATCAGTGTCTTGACGCGACCAACAAAAGCAAAAGATTGGATATAAGAATCAACATCCTTGATACGAGCAACAAGATCGACTGAATGTGGAATTTCATATCAGATGAAGCTGACTACATAATATGATTAGATAATTGGTAAGATCCCGGCTGGAATGCACCCTAACAAATGTCCAACCCTAATGTCAACTAGTATGATGCTACGTCAATTTTATGGTATACAGCCTACATTCTAAGCCGGAGGGAGTGGAAAATGGGGAGTCAGATTTATACATGGCCATCCTGTTCGCTTCTATCCACTTAGAACTTATTGTAGCTGCGGAGCAGGTAGCCCTACCCATCCTATCAGGGAATTAGTAGTGGATTAATAGATCTCTTGGTATTTATCTTTTTCACATACTATTTATATCTCCCTTCTCTCTCTCTCTCACCTCTCTCTCACCTCTCTCTCACCTCTCTCTCACCTCTCTCTCTCTCTCTCACCTTTTCATTAATCCAACGACACGCTCTTAAGGTCAGTGTGATTAGGCTTTATGTTCTCACAGTCTGATCACAAAGACGCTCAAAGCGTTCCCTGCCTCCGGTCACACCTGAGCGAGCTTCCCTCACCTTCAATTAACACCGATCTTATTGTTGCACGAGGAACCGCCAAGGCAACACACCGGAAATGGCAAGTCTTGGCGGTACTGGATCAAGTTCTGCTCGACAGCTCTTCCCTGCAAGGATAACTCAAATCACACACACGCACGCACACGCTCTTCGACCAAAGAGCCAGAGCTCAACCTGCGCAAGCACAACTAGGTGAGTACACACACACACACGCACGCACGTCAGGGGAATTAACAGAGTAGACAAAGAAGCAATGTTCAGAGCGAGGAACAGATAAGTCAGAGATACAGAAATGCAAGAATTTCTTCTCTGTAAAAGCGGCCAATTTGCGTTAGCTTGAGCCACTTCTTCATCTAACTCAATACACAATTCTAAACGCAAATGTGGTAAGACGAACACAAGAATGTATTAATTGCATTAGGCTACATGTACGAGAGTACATCTAGGTGATTACTTGCACTGCACGATGAAAGTTCTTCTAGTGGCTACTCCGCTCCCCGTTTGTGTGACCTACAACAGGAGGAAGTCTGAGGAAGACAAGCGGGACCGGACAGGGAAGTGTGGCATGAAGCAACGGGACACTGGATCACCTCGGTCACACTTCCCACAACCGCTCGAGACCGACCGAGTCTACAGCGCCACTTACAGCGTCTCCAAGAAGGTTCGTCATGAGGTCCAGCTGTGTGCTCTGGGCGTAGACAGAACTCATGGATACGCTGAAGAACCCAGAGGAAGACTTGAAGGAGGGCCGGCTGGCTTCGACGTCCTTGGCGGCGATGTTGGCGCCATGAATCACGTTTTGCGAGTACAACGTCGTCTCGGACTGGGGTTCGAAGCACACGCGAATCTGTTGTGCAGGAGAATGGATGGCTCTTAATTAGTAGGTATATTTTTTTTTCGTTACAACATTCATCAGAATCTGAATTTAATTGTAAGTTTTCCCGCTGTTGCAGAATATGCGGAACCAACTTGCAAACTATTTGAATACTTGTCTCCACAGCAAACACTGATAACTATTATGTAGCATATGCTGGACTATTGAAACATTTACTTGAAGGATATAGGTGTTTCTATTTTTCGGTGTATATACACTAAAGAGTTTACTTTTATTCTGAACTATGGTAGTTTGTCAGTTAGCAATTATGGTGGTGTTAATAACCCTCCCGTGGTTGATAGGCTTTAAACGAGACACTAAATGAAACACGAACCTTCAAATCCTAGCATTATTTAAGCACGAAATTAAATATAATATAATAAATATTTCACCTACAAACATATAATAATCCTACACATGTGCATACTGAATGTTTGTTTGTTTCAAGTGAAATAAAAGTGAATTTATCTTAAATTTGATGTACAAATAATGCTAAGATTCGGAGCTTCGAAAAGGTTTCGTGTTGCCGCCCGGGTAATGTTTACATACCAGCTCGTAGAAACTTGCCGCTGCGTCGACCTCGAAGCCGATGGCGTGGACGACTCCGACGTTTCCGGAGCCACAGCTGCCCAGGTCTCGCTGGATGGACTCGGACACCTTGTCCGTGCAGCCCAACTCCGCCAACTCCCACTCCTGCAGGATGTATACTCCAGACGTAAGGAAGAGGAGGAGAACTGGCGTCCTATGTGGTGCCGATAGCGAATGGGTACGAAACGTCAGATACGGTTCTTCATGTTCGACACATAGCGCGGAGGAATGAGGTATGTACAGTATTTAATGATTATCATTCATAACAAACATGAATGCTTCATTTGATTACTAGATAACACATTGTTTGCTTCTTGCCTTAAAAGTTACTGCGGACGGTGTAGTGTCGATGATTTTTTGCTACAAGGGTACAAAAAAAAAATGAAGAACGACAAAAATTCTAGCAATTTGTACGAGGTCCGTTACGTGATGCATGGAGCCCGTTACGTGATGCATGGAGCCCGTTACGTGATGCATGGAGCCCGTTACGTGATGAATGGAGCCCGTTACGTGATGAATGGAGCCCGTTACGTGATGCATGGAGCCCGTTACGTGATGTATGGAGCCCGTTACGTGATGCATGGAGCCCGTTACGTGATGCATGGAGCCCGTTACGTGATGAATGGAGCCCGTTACGTGATGAATGGAGCCCGTTACGTGATGCATGGAGCCCGTTACGTGATGCATGGAGCCCGTTACGTGATGCATGGAGCCCGTTACGTGATGAATGGAGCCCGTTACGTGATGAATGGAGCCCGTTACGTGATGCATGGAGCCCGTTACGTGATGTATGGAGCCCGTTACGTGATGCATGGAGCCCGTTACGTGATGCATGGAGCCCGTTACGTGATGCATGGAGCTTATTACGTGATGCAGGGAGGCCAGAGCTCACGGTAAGGTAGGGCCAAGGGAGAATAGAGTTCACGGAAGGCGCGGCTTACGGGAAGAGAGAGCTCACGGAAGGCAAGAGTGTACTACTTACCGTCTCGTCTACAGCGAGGAGCACCCCGCCAGCACAAGCGGCCGTCACAGACGACACCCCAAGGTTGGTGACCAGTGTTCCGGGGCACGCCACCGTCACCCGGCTGCCCGCCGACACCCTGGACAAGACACAGGTCATTTTCACCGTAACGCGGCTCACAAAAGTATATTGCTGTATTAAAAACTTATCAATCCTAACCTAACCCCACTATAACCTAACCTAACCTGTCTCTAAGATTTAGCCTCGTCTACGGAAGGCTAGATCAAAAAAGCCTATCGTCTTAGGTCAAGATTAATCAGGGGTTACCGCCAGTGAGGTCAAAGTTCAAGGTCATTAGCTATTGACATGGGGTCATCAGACTGGTGTCAGTAAATTTGTCTTGGATTCAGTCAAGGTCGACTTTGTGTGTGTAAGGTCGACCTTGAAGCTATAATGTTGTGTGTTTGTGTGCGCGCGACCACACACTGTGAGCGTATTATGCACATTACGTGCACATTGTGAGCGTTCACACACTCATTGTACACACACTCTAAGCATACGCACACTGAACATACGTTGTTGTTATAGATTCAGCTACTCGGAACAAGTTCCAAGTAGCACGGGGTATGGTGAGCCTATAGCTTACCTGGTACAGGAGCGGGGGAAGTAGCACGGGCTATGGTGAGTCAGTAGTGGACTTACCTGACACAGGAGCGGGGGAAGTAGCACGGGCTATGGTGAGTCCGTAGTGGACTTACCTGGCACAGGAGCGGGGGAAGTAGCACGGGCTATGGTGAGTCCGTAGTGGACTTACCTGGCACAGGAGCGGTGCCGTGTGTGACTTTACATACGCTTACGCTTACTGTATGGTCATATATTTACGCACATGTTCTCCAGAGACTCACCTAACCATCCTGTAGCTGCCCTCTAGGACCGGCCGGACTATTTCGAAGGCCTCGTCAAAGAGGATGGGAGGATTGACGGGGAAGTCCTCATCTCTGTCCCAGACGCAGTCCTGGCCTGTGAACAGTCGTGAAAATGGGTGTTGGGAACTAGGTATTGCTACGGTTACCGTCGCCTGACACGTCTCTTCCGTTTATCAGGCGTCATACTGCCTCTGTATATTGATAGAAGTATCCAAGACTTATTTTACTACACTTTGGGAGTCATGAAACCTAATTTCAGAATTATTTATGTTTTAAGTTTCGGTGGGGAAGGAGGCAAAGCTTAGTCTTTTGACAAAGATGGCGGATCGCCACCAACACCGAGTAGAGAGCTTTCCTGCCGAGAATCAGAGAGGCAGCGACACCGAAATTCCCGGATGGAAGTTAGGCGATTGGTCACGCGTTGGCAGGAGTGACCAATGAGAAAGTGACCTGAGGTCACGTGACGTTATGGGAGCACCTGAGAAGCGCTTGTTGCCGTGGGCGGGCGCCATTGCATCCTGAGACATCGCAAGAGGCAGATATAGAGCTTTCCCGGGAATGAACCAACAGAGTTAATATATATTATACCTCTGGCACTCTTGGCCAGAGTGCAGTAGACGATAGCGAGGAGGAAGCTGGAGTAGAGCACCATCCTGCCTGTCTGTCACTCAGTCTGGCACTCACTGGCACTCTCCCACGTCTCTATATATATACACATATGCGGACAAGAGGATTCTCACGCCCGATTCAATAGATAACTCTATCTATGGGAGGAGGGAGATAGGGAAGGGAGAAAGGGGGCCAATGTAGGATGTAGGGGGTGAGAGGGTAGAATTGAGGGGGTGCAGTTGTAAGCTCCCACTGCACCCCCGTACCCTAAGGGGGTGCAGTGGGAGCTTACTACGTGGTGGTCAGTGGGGTTCCTGAGTAGCGATGCCAGGAGAGACACTAACAAGGGCCCTGAAGACGAAGCAAGGAGCTGCTAAGATTATAAACATTACCTTCATTGTCCGAACGTGTGGAGAGTTACGACCCCGAGATGACTGAACCACAGAGATGTTAAGACACGCAGAGGAACATGCAGAGATCAGTACACAGATCTGTGGCCAAGGGAAGCTATAGAAACAAAATACCTATCTTAGTACAACTATGAAAGTATTATAAATATCTTCGGGGAGATAAAGTTTCAGAAATACTAACATCTGTTATTAATGATAAGGACGAGAGAGAGAGAGAGGTGGAGTGTTGCTGCAAATGATAGACAAAATATAACCTAAGCGCCCTCCTATTTCAACATTGATATAATAAACGAGATATCTCCTCGCTGGCAGGATAAATCACGTAAAATTACAGTGATCAAGGACACAACGAAAATAAAATCTATATTTTAACTCAAGAAATGATACATAAGTATCTCGTGAAAATAAATGAAGAGGTAGGAAGCGAATTAGATCAAGTCTACACTGATGAATCTGCTAATCCTACTGATAAGTCTTCCCTTATTAGTTAGCCTTTTTTACAGCTCTCTTGATTTCAGCGATTGAAATTTAAATTGAAATAAGTTTATTGAGGTAAAATACAGACAAAGGGATGAGGCAGCTCAAGCTATTCTCACCCCGATCAGTACATCGTGTTCATACATATATAGACACACATCACAAACAATAAACATATTACCAAACATTCTGAAAGATAAACACATACATTTCTTCCATTACACATGTTGTATATTACCAGACGCACACACAAATACTTTTATGACTAAGTATATAGACAATTTGCAATAGACATGCAGACAACTCAACAAGAGGTCACAATCTTGATGCAAAATTCTTATTATATCTCTCCAGAATATCATTAACCTTTCCGTTGTGACACATCCAGGCTACATGTTCAGGAACAGTCCTTATCTCAGTGTTCATATACATTAATCAACAGGCAATCAAGAACATAATGGGTAAGGGTGTGAGACCTTAACACACCACATAGTTTACACTTCGTGTCACTTCGTTTAACATATTACTACATGGTTCATCCTTCCAGGAATGTGCCACCACTACATCCCTGAGCTGAAGAGCTTGTTCAAGCAGGTGGAGCTCCTCAAGGTTACAAACTGATAAGTAAGGCCACTTTGAGCTAGTCTTGTTTTCCTCTTGTAAACAGAAGCCAAGTTTTTCTTGGGAATGTCATGATAGCGAGAGTCTCTCCATTTGGTCACCATTTGGTCCGGGAGACATCTCCCCTCACGCAGGGTGCAGTCGCGCCTCCACAGATCTCCAGTATCAGCTCTTGATACTGGTAATAGCTCAAAAGGGCCACCACTTACGGGCTATTCATGCCAGTGCCACCTTTTGGGTGGCTTAATCTTCATCAATCAATCAATCGAGAGTCTCTGGCAAGCTTAATTTCAAGCTTAGCTTTCAGTTTCTTAATCCTGTTTTTTTTAACACGCTTGTCATACATTCGATGTTTTAGCAGTTTTGGGGACTCTGATAAGGAATGTCTTGGCTTTATTTTGTATGGTCTCAAGCCATCTCATGTCGCTTGCGAAGTGAATAAGACTTGCAGCATAGTACAGTATGGAACAAACATATGCTGCATGTTTTCAAGGCACGAGAATAAAAGCAGCATGGTTATTCTAGGACACGGCTCACAGCTACTCCCTAGCCTCCCAGGAACCCAACAGTAATTAACTGGGAACTTGGGTGCTAAGCTAAAGTAGCGGATCATTTTGTAGGTTAAACACGGTGCTGAAAAGCTCTGTCCAGTTTCATTACCTGACCAAAGGCCTAAATCTCAACATGAAAGCACTTCAGTCACTTTGTGTGGCTAGGCACTTAGCTTTTGTTTGTGTGGTAGAGGGGTGGGGATGGAACGGAAGGGAAGAAGTGGAATGGTGGGTAGGAAGAGAAGGGAAGGGAACTATCAGGGGAAAGCGCCAAGTCATTACGACTATATAGCACTGGGAAGGGGTCAGGATAAGGATTTGGGATGGGACGGGGGGAAGGAATGGTGCCCAACCACTTGGACGGTCGGGGATTGAACGCTGACCTTGCATGAAGCGAGACCGTCGTTCTACCGTCCAGTCCAAGTGGTTGGGCTGGTGGGTAGGAAAAAGTAGGAGAGAGAGAGAGAGAGAGAGAGAGAGAGAGAGAGAGAGTAGAGAAGGAAGGGAAGGGTTTGATAGAGATGGCTGAAAAGGATAGGAGATTGTAGTGGGGAGGGATAAGTAGAGGATGGAAAGCAGGACAGGAGACGGTAGAGTAGTGTGCTTGAGAGCCAGACACACGTTCCCAAGAGCTAAACTGATAAGACTTACCTCTCTCGCGGAATATGACATTTTTAACACTATCTAATCATATATTTCACGTATTATGTCGAGTGGAGCCCGTGTGTGTTCCCAGGGCACTGTGTATAATTCCGCCCAGCCTCCACACACACACGTGATGGTATTTATAGCAACTATTTGGTCGAACGAACAAAAATAAACTGTTGCAACCCACAAAGTTCTCGTTTGAACCATTAACTTTGCTGAGGGTTCGGAAAAATAATAAGGTTTTGTCTCCGTACCATCAAGACAATATTTGGGTATATATTTGGGTAAATAGCGTGACAAGAGGGCCGCATAGGGCCTTCCCCACTCTTGCCTAGGTAGAGTGGAGATAGATAGAGAGACTACGATAAGCAGAACGATATATATACAGTATTCTATACTCTCTGATTGATTGATGAAGATTAAGCCACCCAAAAGGTGGCACTGGCATGAAAAGCCCGTAAGTGGTGGCCCTTTTGAGCCATTACCAGTATCAAGAGCTGATACTGGAGATCTGTGGAGGTGCGACTGCACCCTGCGTGACGGGAGATGTCTCCCGTATACTCTCTATACTCTCAGTACAGTATACTGATTGTTGAGTTTACTAACGATAGGCCCGTGGCGTAGCCAAGTGATACTTTTTGTTTTCAAGCGATTGTGGATGTCACCGGAGGTGGCATTCACAGACGCCACTCAGGAATTTTGTAGGTGGTTATCATGTCTCCCCCTTACTCTTCTGTCTTCTAGGGACGTGAGGTTTAGCTCCCGTAGCCTTTCTTCGTAGTTAAGTCATTATCGTAATCCCTTCGTTAAGTAACCCCATCGTTAAGTAACCTATCCTCAGGCTATGCTTCGCCAGCAACGGTCCAACCTTAATAACGATTTCGTTAATTTGTTCGTTCTGAGTAATTAAAAACTGAATTACAAAACTAAATTAGCGAATCAAAATTAATTTATGAAATGTTGAGGAATGGCAGGGCAGATTATAGTGGGCTGCAGTGATGTTGAGTCTGTGTAGTTAAAGTGATGAAGACAGTGTCATGTGTAGTGAAGATGGTTACAGTGGTGATGGCAATGTGTAGTGAAGATAGTTACAGTGATGATGGTCTTGTGTAGTGAAGATGGTTACAGTGGCGAAGGCCGTGTGTAGTGAAGATAGTTACAGTGATGATGGTCTTGTGTAGTGAAGATGGTTACAGTGGCGAAGGCCGTGTGTAGTGTACATGTGGACGACGCTTCTCCCCCTATCAGTTACAGTATCAGATACTGTAATCTATCAGTTACAGTATCAGATACTGTAACTGATAGTTACAGTATCATATTTTCAAGCATTGTAAATAGTCAGAATAGGATAGGTGAGTGGTTGAGAATGACCGCAGTTAGGACAAGCATTTGCGTTAGGAAGGGTCGCTTGACGGTGGAACCTACAGTAGTTGCTATAAATGAGTGGCGTCACACTGACCGCTTTGACATGAAGATAACCACGAGGTGGTTATCATGTTTCCCCTTTACTCTTCTGTCCTCCAGGTGGCGTGAGGTTTACCTCCCGTAGCTTTTCCTCGTAGCTCATACCTCTTGGTTATGGAACTAGTCTGGTTGCATACCTCTGAATCTTCACTGAACCTGTGGTGTTACACACACAGACACCTACTTCCATCTCCCTCATCTAATATCTCCTTTACCTTCGATTATGAGAATGTCTTCACTGCCAACAAGAACGTATTTAAAAAAATGAAAAAGGTTATTTCAACGTAAATGTACAATATATTTATTATCTTCGGGCTATACGGTGTATGCAGCAGCCAGGGGGATGAGAAGCGAGGAGGAAACCTGCTCCAACAGGAGGGCCTTCCAGGCCACCTCCTGCAGGATGAGGGTCTGTCAGGCCGGTTCCTACAGGAGAAGGTTCTTCCAGCCCAACCCCTGGAGGACGAGGCTTTTCCAGCTCAACTCCTGGAGGATGAAGGTGTTCCAGCCCAACTCCTGGAGGACGAGGCTTTTCCAGCCCAACCTCTGGAGGAAGAAGGTGTTCCAGCCCAACCTCTGGAGGAAGAAGGTGTTCCAGCCCAACCTCTGGAGGATGAAGGTGTTCCAGCCCAACTCCTGGAGGATGAAGGTGTTCCAGCCCACTTCCTGCACAGTGAAGATGTTCCAGGCGATCAGGGAGTAATTCAACAACAGGAGGATCCTACTTCCGAGAAGCGTGGACCGGTAGGGAACAGGGGTCAGCCGCCTCGGGCACTACAGGTGAGCGGAATTATCGAGACCGAGGGCCCCTGTTCCACGTTCTCGCCCTGGTACCATCTGCCCACAGGTAATTCCTCCATGGTCGTGTTTGGGGTCAAGACGGACAGCAGAGCCGAGCTCACGCTCTTGAGCCCCGTCGCACAGGATTCCCTTCTG